TTTTCCTCCATCTGGCATCATATGTATTGGGATAACTGTCTGACAGTTGCACCAAGTTAACACATGTTTATAAGGTATGGAACAAATTTTAATAGTTCTCAGTCTACAGGAAATCCTATAATTGATTGAAGCCCTTCTTAAATATCAGTTTGTGTGACTTCCCTGAACCAAAATGTTTTAACATACACAGCAGCGAATTCACATGAAACATTCAATATTTGGCTGATGGATATAAGCCTATTTTCTGAATCCCTCCAGTCATCACTATCTCCAGCACCAAAATAACTAATTTATTGCAAAATGTGAGTGAAATAACCCTGTGCCAATAGGTTTGACATGAAAGACTGTAACTTTAGCCTTAATATTAGTAAGGGCTGCAAGCATACGTCCCCTTTTGAATAAGGCTTAGGCAGTCTCTAGTGTGGGCATATCTAGTTGGCTGGTTTCTGTACCCTTAGAAATTAGGCAACAATAACATATTTTCTATATATATATATATATATTTTTTTTTTTTTTGCTTGAGTCAGACAATGGTTCACTTGATTTGGACATTTGTGAAATGGGATGTTCCTCATGCATAAGAGGCTGAGTCAAGCAAAGAAATGTCTGACTTGAGTAAAAAACACTTTATGGAAAAAATAATGTGACCTCCTGGCCTTTACCTACTTTTTTTCAGTCTCATACATCACTAGTGTAATTATGAGTGGCTCTTCATTGTCTTAACATGAGGAACATATAATTCCAAGACCCTGATGCTGCTATTTTAGATTCTTAACTCTGCTGCCGGGTGAAGAACTTAGGTGCTATATATCTCTTTTGCCCACCAAAAGATAAAATGGTAGGTACAGACTTATACGGGCTCAGACTTATTCATGACTAACCATTAAAAGGAGAGAGCAGATGATGAGCGTAACGGCAACATGGTTCAGTGAGTCTAGGATCGATATGCCGAGAGGCCGATCATGAACTCTAAATGACTTCGTGAATTTTGAAATATGTCTAGAGTATTCTGGGCTTCGTAGGCTTTCTACGCCTACGAAGCCAAAGTCCCAGGTCTTGGTCTACGTAGAGGAATATGACTAGGCCTAAGGACACCGTTTCAGACTTGACTTTTTTGTTTCATGCTCCACCAGCTTCAAGGAACAACGAAGTCAACACGAGGATGGACTGAAAATCTGACATATATTAGACCTACGCCTATTGCTGGGACAGGCTAATGCCTGTTAAAGTTACAACCGACTGTTGCGAACGTGGGAGTCACGCGTTGTAGCGCTGAGGTACTGGCCAAGGACCTCAAGTGAACAGCGTGCACCGCTCCCCATTTCCATTCGGCGACTGAAGGAAGCAAACGGGGAGGAATAGGCGTCACGTGATCCCAGAACCACGTGGACTTCCTCAATAGGTCCGCTTGATCGCCTCAATCTCCTACCCATTTCCCAACTTCCACGGCCCTGGCCGCTTTTCATACTCCATGCCTTAACCAATAAGCATTCCTTATCGTCGCCCTCATTTTACCATCCCATCAATTACATGCCTAGAGAACAGATGTGTTTGTACTACGAAGTGTATCTGGTCAGAATCATTGCTCGTGGCTCACAGACCCTCCCAGACAGCCAACGCCATTTGCACCGTAAAGCTTTTGTGTATTTTTACGCAGGGCACAATCATACTTGCGTGACGCGACGGAGCGAACCTCGGCTAAAATATTTCATCGATCCTCGCACTCGAGCTACGAATGCATGTGATAATCGGAGGGCCCACGAAATCGTCACTAGTCCTGACAAGGTCCTAAGCGGAAAAAAGACGCACTTTCAGCGAGACGATCGTGGGCTTGTCTGACTGCCTAGAATGAGGTTGATTTATGTACCGAGGAATGACGTCTATTCTATGCCTCTTGGCTCATTGATGATTCTGACAAGAGACCATCAATATTTCTGGACCTATCCTGTACAGGTCCAAAATATAGTTTACTGGATCAAATTTATTTGCGTTCAGCAGAAAAGTGTTATTTATTATTTTTTTAAAAGGATTTTGGGCTTTCCGAAACTGTTCTCCTACGAGAAGGCAGCAGACGAGTCAAGTGACTTCTAATTGCGACTGAAGAAAGTATTGTCAGCCAAAGCCTGACTAGTCGCACTTCCCTCCGAGGGAAGCGGGGCTCCATTTCAATACGAATACAACAAAAAACTTTCCCAGAGGCATCGTAGCAGTTCCAACAGTTCTTTTGAGTACTTATAATACTCGAAAGATAGGAAGTACTTACAGATGTACGCGATAGTGAGGCTTGTGAATCCTTCTGACGACATTCCAGCTAAGAGAATTATTGAGAGAAACGCAGAATGGCAGTTTGAAATCCTAAAGTTTTTTTTTTTTTTTACTCGAGAAAAACAAGCCTCTTACTATCCACAGCATTGCTATCACGGGCCAGAGGTCGAAGATAGCGGAGGAGGGAGGAGGGGCTGCCTCCGTATAAACTCTGCTATAAATGCCTGACCTTGAAGCCGATCAAGTTGTCGACGATGTCACGAACGTAGCTTATCCAAGAAAGAACCCTATCATTGATGACATGACTCAAGGTCTCACTCGCGGAGTACTTGAGATGGTGCCTATCGTGGTGCAGTCCGATTTTCTGGCGTGGTTGATACCTCCACCTCTTCGAGGGTCCATATTGCTTGAGATTTCACCGAAGAAATCTCGACTTTCTCAAGTTTCATGGCATCTTCGAATTAAAAAAATATATCAGGTATCTTTAAGGGGAGAGGAAGAATCATGCATGAAAATTTGCTCTAAATTGGTAAGATTTTTAAAATCATTATTCTATGACCATAGTGCGACCAACAACCAATCCACGAAATCTATTCTTCGGAACCGAGACAATGAATGATGGATTACACTACTGAGTAAATAGGCTCCTGTCGAAGATGAAAATTAATCATCGATAATTTCTACCAAATATGTCACTTTCCTAATGGCAGAGGTTCGGATGGGTGCTGGCAGAGGTTCGGATGGGTGCAAAGCTTGATCATTCACTGGCCAAAAAAATTTCGAGGCAGAATTAGAGGTATTCGCAAATGCGCCTGGTTCTCGCATTCCTGAAAATGTTTTGAAGAAAAGCCCTCGTATCCCAAGCTCATAAATCGCATCCATCCGATTTCACGTTCGCGGTTATCGACGAGACATTTGAATTTTCCATAAATCTTTCGCATTATTTCCGGTTGAACATTTTTGTGCGGCTTTCAAAATGGGTCTGCATTTCCTTCGATGGCAGCAGGCGGCGTGATTTCCTTAATGGAAGGACATTTATGCGCATTTTTGCCTTGGTCCTATATTATAATCAAGAACCTGCTCAATCATAGTTCTCGACTTATCAACAGAGCGTTAATGAACGGGGCATTCAGCTTCACCTTAGCAGTCAGGCCAGTTGAGGAAGCGTACAAATAGTTGTTGATGGGGTGTTGGATTTTTGGTTGCATATTTGCCCCAAGTTCAACCAGGCCGTCGAGAAATTGGGTACAATCTACCGTGAATACGCTGTGCTGGTGCAGAGCAACACGTGCGGACAGGGGCGACAAAAAGAAGACGATGAATATGGATGGGGGGGGGGGGGCTGTGGTCACGTGACCCAAACCTTTGAAATATCCTTCCCTTCCTTCAAGGGGGCCCCCCAACCTTCCCGAATATTGAGCTACGACGAAAACGTTTAATAGATGGCGCAAAGCGTCTCCCCGCCCCTCGATCGCACGTGCTCTCCACATGGTAGGGCACGCGCGAACGTTGCGGAAGTGGGCGGCATGCGAGGGAGGCGGATCCTCTCCGCCGAATTTCCCTCTCTTAGTCGCGTCTTTACTGCGTGGCATGCCACCTTAAAATCTAAGGTCGACACTCGAAATTTTTAAATGAGCATGTGCTAATTTAAATGAAATAAATAAATTCAATCTCCGATTCTCTGGCATCGTTCTTCAGTTATGCTATCCAATGAATGCAAATGAGATGGAGACCTATACTATTAATACATTCTTTTAATCGTCACCTTTCGCTTGGGAAGACTCACTCTGAGATGAGAGTAACAGGCTCTCCTTACCTTGCAATGTCACACTCACACTGATAAGACTTTCCATAAATTCAGCGTTAAAAGAAGCCTAATTTCTTTATCTTTTTCCTCCAGTGCAGCAATTGAATCGCAGATGGAGCTTTCACGAGGCCTGTATGAGTCTGGAACAATGGAACAAACAGGATTTCCGTTCGTAGTGCTATCGACATCCTCTCTTCAGCAGAAATCGCGTTGAAAAACCTTCGTAGCTTATCGGCGAATCCTCGGAGCAACAGGAGCTAATAAGATATGGAAGTCTTGAGAATAAAATTCTAGAGAAATTGAAAAAAGTCCAGTGATCACCAAGCCTCCACAGTATTTAGTTGAAGTAGGCTAGTAGACTTTGCTTTTCTCGTCACATTGGCCAAACTGAAAAGCGTCTTTTACTGAAGTTGGTATTCCTTTCATCATCCGCAGAAAAAAAGGTGCTTTCAAGTGTATACGAAAAGACATCTGCAATTGACATGTTGGTGCCGCAAGCGTCACAGCTGGAATGCGTGAACTGAAATTTAGTTCCGATTTGTCTCGCAAGTATTATTGTGCTCTCGTCTTGAAAAGTAGAGCTTGGATCCCTGCCATGGAAACATGAGGTTATATTCAATTGGCTTCAGACAAAAATGAGAAGATACCCTATTTTACAAGAGAATTAAGGGACTTCTCCCTAAAGAATATTCGTGCTGAAAAACTGGAATCAAAGCGCCAGTGCTACAGCTAAAATGCATATGACGGGCTGAACCATAACTCAGTAAATCAGCAATGTACACGTGCTATCTATCAGAGTTCAACGGCGTGAAAGAGGATCGAAAAGATATCTTTACATTATATAAGCAGCATGACATTTGGACACTGACATACTAGAAAATGATGCAGCTATATAATCTTAAGTCAAGTGATAACACTTTATTTCAATGTAGGATTGAGGGCTTCACAAAAATCAATATACTATCTCAGGATCTGACAAATCTTCATGGAAGTAGGATCTGAAGGGAGGATCATCATCAACTCCCTGGTGCATATATCACAGTTCACTTCTATGCATTCACAAAACATTCACTTTGAATCTTCATTTGTTCTAGAAACTTGGTCACCACAGGTAATAGTGATCTGGCAAGAGAAAAAAGTTTTTGTCAAAGTGATCATGAATCACAAATAGTAATGTAGAGTCACTTACTTGGTGTCAACTTTTGATAGGGGAAGTATTTTTTGTGCAGCAACCAATGATTGCCTATGGTTAAAAAAGAATGTCACCCTATAGTGACAGAACATGCTGTAACATATCAATGTCAGAAATAAAAATATGGAAGCTCACTGGGCATTCTCATTGAGGAAAGATGAAATAATTCTCTGGAATGCCTGGAGATCTATCCAGGCTTGTGCAGCTCCTTCAGGAGAGAACTTCTTCACACAAGAATACAGCCGTGCTATCTCTTCACATGCTGCAGCACTGATTTCTTGCACCACTTGTAGGCTGTGCTTTGGTGAGTGATCCATCACCTGTGAAAACAGACATGTTTAGTTTGGTGATCATATGGCACCAGTGCCACCAATAAAACATGTAAGAGGGAACACACTTCAGCATAAATACTAAGGATGGTCAAGAGAGTTTCAGGGATGTAGCTGCTGACAGTATATGGCTGATGACATTTGTCCCAACGAAAACCTCCACGATACATAGATGGTTCAATGCATCCAATTAATGGCCCTGACACCCATTCAATATATGCAGCAATAATCTTTTCTGCACGCTTTTGGGTCAATCTATTCACCTCCTGAAAATGAAGAAAATACAGTTTTGCATTAGAAAAAGGACAATCCAACCATAAATGAATAGCTAAAAGAAGATATATTGGGAATTTCTGCCTCCCTAAAAATAAAAAGGACTTACAGAGGAACAAAAGAATTGAAGGCAACCAACACTAGTCCCCCTTTTTTTTTTTTGCTAATTGAAATGCAACAACCATTCTGGCCTGTGATGAGAGTATGATTTTCTTCCCATCTGAAAACAATGGTACAAGTGACATCTTCCATACATCTGATAACATTGTCTTTCCCAAGAAATCCCTCTAATCTATCATCCTGATATGACAAAGGGGTGAATATACTGTCTTTGAATTTTCTAAGACAGCAAGACTTGCCCTGTTTTCAAGAGTGATAAATATTTGAATAATTTAAATACTCACCTTAGCACCAAGGAACCAAGAGCACTGTCAACCATTCCTTACTTATCACTCTTCAATTTTAAAACATGGTGAATTCTTGCCCTCCTGAATAAGTTTGGAATTGGATATTTTCCTTTTTCCAGACTATGAAAAACAACCAGGGAGAGAAGTTAAAAACTGTTTTATGGCCCAGCCTTCTCTTTGACCAGTCATATTGAAACTGCCAGGGCACTTTTCAGCCAAAACAAACTCCTTAGCTCACCTCAAATACTTCATCAAGTTTCCGAAAGCCAGCAGAGGAGAAGACATCAGCCAAACGTGGCAATGTGGACTGAGAATACTCTCGACAGTTGCCCAATGTTGTGAGGACCTGAGCTGATGAAAAGTCCTTCTTGCTATCCTTCCTTTCTCTCTTGATCAGTGGGTCAGACAACCTTTTCAGGAACTATTCCAAGAATACTCTTTGTGATTAGTCAATGACTGCTAAGAGAAAAAAAAAAATATTCCCACGAGAATCCCTTCATACCTCCACAAAGGTCTTCAGGAGTGCCTTCACCAAGTGCTTCAAATTTGTCTGTACTTCAGGGTTCTGTAGGACAGCAGTACCTTGTTCACCTCTGAGTACTTTCTCCTGTATAAGTTCTACTACAGATTTCACATTTTCTTCAAAGACATGTGGCTGCAAAAAACGAAAAGTCCTATGATCATCAAATACCATTCTCATCATGCAACTTTCCAATACCTTCCACCTGTACTTTGCAAGAGTGGTTCTCAGACTAAATCTCATAAAATTACAAGCAGCTGAGAACACACCAGTCGAGATCCTGTGACATGCCGGTCTCCAACTAATTCAGCTTCTGATGTCTCTAAGGCCTCGAGATTACCACAGTCCCTGATAGCTTTCTTCAGTAATTCCTGAAGTGTGTAGATCCTGTAAAGAATCCAAAGTATACCACAGGAATAGAATCTATACAGGATTTACATCAGTCTGGAATGTCTTTTCACCAACCTCAGCTGTGTGATCAGCATTTCAACATTGTCAAGGAGGGAAGGTACAATATGCATTTTGGCCAATGAAACATAGCAACTTCTGATTTTCAACAGGCATCTAGGGAGAAAATCAATCAGGTGTTCTCCTGCTTCCAAATTGGAGCTTGGAGAAGACTTATCATCCATCAATGGGGCCATCAACGCTTGCTGACAGATGCGGCAATATATTGTCACCAGATTTCGCACCATTTTCTGCAAAGAGAAAGAAAGGCAATGGTGACATACTGTACTTCCTTTTTTAAATTTTGGGATTTAAGTTTTATACTTAACAAATCAGCAGCAGTCTTCTTACCATAAAAGTATCCTTGTTGGCAGGAGACTGACTCTTGTGCAAGTCTCCAGATGTGTAGAGGTTCCCCAGTTGCCAGAAGTTCCTGAAACTCCCAGTCATAATGCCAGCAGCCCTCTCAATGACCTCAACTTCAGGAGGAACCTCTCCTTCCTTTTGACATAACAAAAGCCACTCAACTGAAAGTATAGCATTTCCTAGACAAAGTCATTCTAAAGAATTCTCATTCTCTTGTTTGCAATAGGTTGGAGGTTCCAGAACTTTAACACGCATGCAGCTCGGATGTGCAGCTGTTGTAGCACTGAGTGACTGCAATATGATCCCAGTGATGGCAGTTCCCAGGGCTTATTTCCTAAAACTTTCCTTAATTTATCCTAGGGCTTAGCTTATAAATGTTTTCAGGGTTGGGTCAGGTGTTATTTGCCTAATATTCCTTGAGAGGAAGGCCTGAAGGAGGCAGAAGCAATCTAGACATCACACTAATCTGTCAGTGCAGGATACAGTCAACTGAATGCATGGTAGGGCCATTCCCTAGGCTACACATTTTCTTTCATAGGCTTGTGTCACACTAAGCTATACCTTCATTTCCATTTCTTCCATAGGCTTGAGTCTACCAGGCATTTCAATAGAAAGGCTGGTTGAGCAAATTGGTCAACAGTGGGACTGACAAATAGATTTAAGCTGGGATTGCTTCTGAGGCATTAGGTACAGCCTAACTGTTTAAATCTGCAGCTGTAGCACCTAACAGAAGAAACATTTCTGGAGAAATGATGATGCAGGCTGCCTGACAATTTTTTAGGATGGGATCTTTTGCTGCCCTTTCTTTCTTTTAACCTTCTCAAGCTTTGCCCCAATTCTGCAGGCTGTTTTTCCATAGTGTGGTTCTGGGATATAATTGTTTTCTGCCTTCTTGTTGGCTAAAGACCAGGCATATCCTGCCTGTTGCCTTGGGATGGTTTGGCCCAGAAAGGCATCACCATTGTACTTTTATTCAATCTATAAGAATGCCTGGAATAAGAGCAGTTTCACTGCCCATTTGGGTATTTGCTAATTTGGCCAACTCTTTCTTATATCTACATTTCTTTCCTATATATACAGTAAAAACCTGTTAACTCAAATCTGGATAATTCAAAATTCCACTTATCTCAATGTTCAATACTTGGTCCTGGCCGAATCCCATAAGACACCATGTTAAATATTCTGTTTAACTTGAATTCGCTTATCTTGAATTTCTGGATATCTAGAACATTACCACTCCCAATTATGATTTTTTCATGGTTAACTCAAAATCAGGGTGTGAAGGGGGGAAAAATTACTGTGAGACCTATCGATTTGTTGAATAGGTGAAAGGCAAGAAACCTGCTTGGGAGAAAATCCTTCTGTTTCTTTTTTTTTTCTCCCTCCTCCCTCACAGATGCCTGTGGAGAGGATTAAAACCAAAAAGCTATAAAAAGAAGCAACCTCTAGCACTTTCCTTGTCTGTCTACCGCTCTCACATTTGGCCATTCCAGTCATATTTGGTTTCCAGGGTACTGAATGAAGGGCATTGTGATGAATGAATTTTGCATATAGAGTAGCAAAGTTTCCCTAGACATGAATAAAAAGAAATTATGTGAACGTCGTCACTCCTTGAAATCAGCTTCTTGAGGACAGAAAAATTGCCCAATTATATCCCTTAGCATGAGTAATTTTTTTTTTATGGGTAGAGGCAATTCCTGATAAGTCAAACTTTGGATAACTCGAAATGATTTACCCAGTCCCAAAAAGTTCAAGTTAACAAGTTTTTACTGAATATATACAGGGTGGCCCAAAAGTAGGTATACAGTTGTTTAGTTTTTTTTATTTATTTTATTTTTCTTTACAGATATTGTGAATGATGGCAGTGAACTTGAGTCAGACATTTCGAGCACTTACGAGATTAAACAGTGTTAAACAAATGTAAATGTAATAAACAATGTAATAAAATGCAAATAAACTATACTGTATACCTACTTTTGGGCCACCCTGTATATACATCAACACATTTCTCCAATTAATGTTCCTTACCTGGATTGAGGAAGGATGGCATGAAGTTTGATGAAGAGAATTCTCCATTTGGCCTAAGGTCTCCTTCATAGCCTGATATTTATGCTCAAGGACTTGCCATGCAGGATCTTCAGAAATGCCCAATGCTGTTAAGTGTCTGAAAAAACCAACATTAAAAAGCTATGTTTATCAGGACACAAAGAATGGGATCAGATCTCTCATTGAGATTTGTAGATGAGACCTGATAAGTTTCTTCTGCTCTACCAAAGGAAGGCCATTGTCCTCTTTGAGAACTTCACGAAATGCCTCATCTAAGTCTCTCACTCGCTCTTCAACTTCCCTCATGAGACTTTTCACCATCTATAGAAAAGACAATAAATAAACCTTGGCATTTATACATTAGAAAATGGCACAAGAAGCATTTTACAGCATCCAGTTTAAATCAGCAGACTGTGATACTTCTCCAAGAGCAACAAAATTTCTCACCTCAGTCTCATGACTCCCATAGAGAAGCTTTGCTCTTCCATAATCACTAACAATCTGATGAAAATTACCCAAGGCCAGGTTCTCATCAATGCTCTTGGGTAGGGCAAAAAGAAATTTGAATCTGTTCAAAAGCACAAGTGTATTCCGAGTCTCATCAGCCTTGTCTTTGCGTTCAAGGAGTTCCTTGAAAAGGTTATCTGCATTTCCACAAGCAGCTGGGGAAGGGAAAAGTACATCCATAATGAATCAATCTCATTGTGAGAAAATGATGTTTCAGAAAAGGACTACCTTTGACCAATTCCTCTGATCTTGCCAATGGATCATGCTGAATCTCTTGTTCATGCTTGTCAAAATCTCCCTTGAGGGCCATGAGGGTATCCAATTGATCCACCATGGATGCCATATTAGTCTGCAAGGAAAGGCAAAGTTGAAAATTACATGGATCATCTATGTGCTCCAAGAAAAACTTCACATAATCCATGGAGACTCACTTTGAGAAATGAAATTTCAGACTCCTTGTGACCTTCAACTTGGCGATTCAGATAATTCAGGCCACTTTTCAGGTCATCAAATGTTGTTTGTCTATGGTTTTCAAGGAGCCACCAGGCAGGAATGAAGTTATCAGCTGTCAACCTTCCACTTCCTTCAGGAAATAGGTCCAACAGCTCCTCCTCTGGGAATCTCTTACTAAATGGAAGGCAACACTTTCTTGGCATTGTTGTAAAACAATAACAGTGAAAAACTGGGGGGAAATGTTTTGTACATAGAGTAGCTGAATGGTTCAAACCAGAAATGAAGTTTATCTACAACTAAGCAGAGTTGGACTAGATCCAGTTCAGGAATCTGAATTCTGATATGGCACCATTCACAATACCCTGTTAACTGCTGATGACGCACCTCGTTGTTATTCTTTCCATAGAAACTAATGTCATCAGCAGCAAACGTGTTAAGGAGTGAATCTAAACAGCTGAGCAACACTGAACAAGCATTATTTTCACTGATAGAAACAGCCCTAGAGCTACAAGTCACAGCTCATATTCCTGAAGGTCTTTCAATAGACATCATCCCATTCAAACATCATAATGGCTAGTTTTCTTTTCATTGTGGTAAAATCTGTCTTACCATTCAGACAGGTTCATTAATATGACCCCAGATTGTCACTTATTAATTCAACGTGTCTTTCATTTGACTTGACATCCATGCATGATGATGCACTTCCCATGCATGGGTGTTGCAGTCAATCGAAAAATTGTCAGACTCAAGTGAACACACCAAAGAATGGGCACTAATGTGTTCTTGTAGTGAGGAAACATGACCTGAATCTATTCCCATCATTCATGTCATAACACCAAGGAGAGTCATATTGTACTTGGTTGGTTCAATTCATTCATTGAACAATGAACTGTTTACATTGAGTCAGTGCATCAAGTGACTCAATGTATTTATTGAATAATATATACATACATACAGGGTGGCCCAAAAAAAACGCACCAATTTTGATCGGCAATAACTTTTGAACAAATGAACTTTTTTTCATGTTCGAAACGGGAATTGCATGCTTACAACTGTCATGTCTTTCAAATTTTATCATATAAAAGTTAATTCCAGTCATTTTCATGGTTGTTATTCAAAAGATTATTGATTCAAAATTGTTTCAAGTCTTTATGCTATTCACTGAACTGAGGACCACGGAATGCCTGTTTCTTTTGAAATATGCAGCACACTTAAACTGGTGCCTGGTTATTATTTCTTGGCTGCAAATCAGTGAACTGACAGTCTCTATCTCTAGTTTTTTTCTGTATGAGCAGTTTTTGGATGCCCACTGCACGGATGACGTTTTCCACTTCCATAATCTTGAAGTTTTTTCCAAAAATCTACAAGTGTTCTTTGTTTCCAATGGTGATCTGGAAACTCTGTGAGGATTTGATTCAATGAGTAATTCTTTTCCTGAGGCAATGCGGTTATCAAACACTTGTCACTCTTGCTCAAGACCATTTTGAAGGGTACAAAAATCTAAAATCAATTTTAGAGAATAAAACTTAAACTTGAAGATCAAAGAGAATAATTTAAGTTCAAGTGAAGAAAAAAACTACATTACACTAAAGAAAAATATGTCTGACTGCTGCAACTCAGCATGAGAGCAATTGACAATAAGTGACCAGTGAGACAATGTCAGCATGCTCGCAAAACCGGCTTTTAATCAATAATCGTTTGAATAGCAACCATGAAAATGACTGGAATGAACTTTTTTAAGTGCACTTTTATATGATGAAATTTGAAAGACACTGCAGTTGTAAGCATGCAACGGAAAATCGCTGTAGGATGCCAAAGGGAGTGCATACAGCGAGGGTTAATAAGAAGCCAGCCTTGTTCATCCACTTTTTTGGGTGCTTGTACTTAAATTACAATTGCTCTGGTTCCATTGGATAATTGATATGGCGATGGAAAGAGCATTAATAAACCTTTGAATTCCTGTTTCAAACATGAAAAGAGGTTAATTTACTCAAAAGTTATTGCTGATCAAAATTGGTGCAGTTTTTTTTGGGCCACCCTGTATATGCTAAAGTCTGTCTGTCTAAAGTAAAGCCTGTCACCATGCTTTTCTACCACAAGACTCAAATCATTTGTTCATCAGGGTACCTCATAGCTACTCCTCTGGAAACCTGAATGAATATTCTCATCAGGAGGAAAGTTTCCCATTTCTGCCATTATAAATGATCTGGTCGCAATTTTGAAAGAGGCTACTTATGGAAGATAATGATGATTACTTTTTCTAAAACTGATATTTAAAAGCTATGAATTTACTTTTCAGCATATTAGCACATGAAACCACAATGTAAACAAATAAACATGGCAGCCAGTGAATCTAATAAAAATTATGCTATGCTGGGATTCAATATAAAGGTTGCTTCCAGTGCCATGAAACACAATTAGTTCAATGACCTGAAAAGGTGGCAACTATAGCCCCCAATGAATTCTCTCATTAATTCCCCTTTTCATCCGCTCACAAAAAGAAACTATGAATGAAAAATATTGAGTCTGTATGATTGACTTTGAAAGCACATCTTTCATGAGGGGTGAAGGGTCTTACTCATTGGCTTCATCAGACAATCCTAGTGGATCTTCTTCTAGGCCAGTAGTGAGGACATGATATGCCACTTTCCGCTTGTCATACATAGTCCCCCGTTCTTCAACCCAGACAGCAGACTCATGAAGAGGTCCAACTGTTTCATGATAGCCCCAGAACTTGACTGTTGAAGTCCCTTTTCCACCAGATAGGGTAGTAATGATGATGTCCCCACGTCCAGCACCAGTGCCAGAACGAGAGGTTATCTTGTTTGGAGATTTCCATTCAGAATATAGAGTGCAGTCTACTCCACATATGGATACACCTGAAACATAAGGTAAAAATACCATAAAGGCATTTACTATGTAAATCAACCACCAAATTCAACTCTTGAAATAAAGGGAGTCTATGAAAAAAATTGTGCAAGCAGCTAAAATCATGCAAATTTCTGAATGTTAGGCTATGATAACCTGCTAAGCTGAAGGTTACCATTAGGTTACACCTAGGCTTAATGTGGCTTCACTTTCATTCTAACATCACCATCAGCATCACCTATACCACATAGGAAGATGAGTTTACAACCTAGGGAAGTAATAATGTCCAAGATTAAAGGAAATATAAAGTGACAGAGGACCTAAAATCACTATTGGGCATCAAAGGCACTAGTAGGAGTCTACTCCATGAAAATAACATATCAGTCCTCCATAAGTACAGACCAAATGCAGTCTTACAAAGGTTAGGACTCAGTGGAACCTTTCACCAATACAGCAAACACAGAACACAGGAAATTCATATTGGCTTCTGGCAACATTTTTGGATTTACTTTAAAAAAATACTTTTGAAAAATCAAGTTCATGCACTTCAAGTGCAAATTCCACATGCCAATAAAAGTAAAACTCATTCCAATTACTCAAAAAGTTAAGCCTAGCTTATACCAACAAGCTTCATTTTAAACAAGTATGAAGTCAATCTGAATTCACTGCTGATCATGGATACCCATCCAAAATAGAACTAGATGCCTGACCTATTTGATGCTTTGGCCTTACCTTGGGTCAGACCCCAGTGCCCATAAAGCCTCCCAGCTCCCACTCCTAATTTCTTTCACATTATAAAACCTTGGGCAATAATGGCAAAATTCTTAAATTATGGCAAGATTCAGGAAGTACCATCATGGATTAGGCAAAATCAGGGTAAATGTTCATTTTGTTTTCTAATATTTCCCTTAGTATTACGTTTCTAACATTGAGTGAAAGACAAAGTCCAATAGGCCAATGTAATTAAACTCACCGAGTATATCCTGGGGACCAGTTCCGAGATTTTCCCCTCTGATCGTGACTCTAGTCCCTGGAGGACCCTCCTTCGGTGAAATACCAGTGACCGCGGGCGCCGCCATATTGATATCTTACACGTAAGGGGTGCATTGAGCTAAGTGGGTGGTTAATTTTTATCACCTGATGAAGCGGAACCTCTGGAAATTTGTGTTTTCTCCATTCTCCACTATTGGGGCTTGGTACGAATTTCATCCAGAAACAGCGTACGTGGCAATCTCTGGCTCTACCCTTCTAGTTCAGTGGTCCCCAACCCTTTTTTTTTTGTGGCATAAGACTTCCATCATGGACCTAAAATTTTCCCTTGACGCATCGAGCTTTGGATGGAGTAGTTCAAGGTATAGGGGAGCGTGAGTCAACTAAAAATAGACTCTGGAAAGAGCGGAGTGCCTACGGCCGTAGTGAAGCAAGTTCTGTTTCAGAATTTCCTCTTGTCAACTCAAGTGTCACCGATACACTGGGGCCTTATTCACGAAACAATCTTACGAACTTTTTTCATCGTAAGAGGAAAAAAGTTCGTAAGTGGTATTCACGAAACATTTTTGCGTAAGAACTTCGTACGAGACTTCGTAGGCAGTTCGTAAGATCGCCGGACAATATTGGTGTTCACGAAAGGGCAAAAGTTCGTATCTTTCTTCGTAAGTCTACGATTGGTCCGGAAGTATCGTAAGTGTCCGCCATGATGAACTCAAGGCGATTTCTTGAACTTTCATTTATTGAGTGTCTCAAAAAAGCTTAATTTTGTTTACACTGGAGGGCTCGCAGGATATGTCCACATTAGATTCACAGGATTTTGCACTCTTTTCTCCATTTATCGAAATTATTCTCTGACACAATTCGGGAAATGGAGGAGGAACTGCTCTCCCTTTACTTTAGCATTCGATTTCAAGTCTATGAATTTTTTATTCACTTCGTCAGCAGATCTCCGTACAGAAGAGACGCAGCTTACTGCATCGGCCACTGAATCCCATGCTTGGAGCTTCGTTTTTCCTGTAATGGTTGACCTTAATCTCCCCAGCAAGACTTTCTTCTTTCGCTCAACTTCTTCGATCGGTACCCTGATTTCCTCACTTGAGAAATTTGGTTGTCGGCCACTCTTTCCTCCTCTTTCCATGATTAAAAATTTTGATACTGTACCCTCTAAGCTTCCTTCGGCATTTCTTCGGCCTTAAGGTAGTTTGCTTTACGATAAGATTCAGTGGTACGGAACTATATGATGTTTTTCTAATGATTCGGCAGAAAGTCCAATTGTGTCAAAATTTCCTCTAATGGCGAAAACTGTCCCAGTAGACGCAGGAAGTTTGCAGAAGGCATTTGTGACAAAGGGACACGTGAGTCATGCTGCCAACGTGATAAGCACGTTGCTCTCCACTCTGTGATTGGTTTGCAAGCTCGTGAGATCAGCTATGATTGGTCGGCTCATTATCGTAGCTACGAAGTTCGTACGAACTTCGTAAGAATATCTCATTCTTACGACATTTTCGTGAATACGGCCCCTGGTTAGGAGCCTGCTTGATGTATACTCCCACGGTCATATCCAGCTGCATTTGGCAAATTGGGAGTTTTCCTAGCAAAATAAACTTAGCTTTCCCTTCCGGATTTGTTGTCATAAGCGTAGCATGAATGGAAAATGTGTGTGTGCGTGTGTGTGTGTGTGTGTGTGTGTGTGTGTGTGTGTGTGAAGGGGGGGGCACGGGAACTCTGTTTCTTTTTCTATGATAAGTAAGGGAGGGGCATGTACCCCCCCCCCCTTTCCCGAATGCTACGATGCTGTTTGTTGCAGTTAGTCGTTGTGAAAGCATCGGACTGACCCATCTGATTACGAATTGCAAATCGATGCGTTTCACGAAATCCATCTCGATTTTAGGGCGTCTTGCATTGTTTTGATATTAAGTTCCTCTTAGGAAAAGAATCACTCCGCCAAGTCCTCAGATGTACTCACAGGATTCAACCCTTACGATGACTGCATTGCGTGGAAGTCCTGCATGCAACATGTCGTGCATGCAAATCTGGTTTGTAATATATCTTGCACGCAAGCATTTCTCGTAAAAAAAGAGAAAGCAAGTGTGCATCTCAGCATCTCATACATGAATATGCGAGCTGTGCAAATGGGGACTTCCTTCAGGTAACCTCATGTCTTCCTTCGCACGAAGAAACCGCTGACGCTCACGGTGAAATACGGTTTCATCGGTTGCCTGCTTCATCGTCCGATAAACACAAGTGAAAGCGGAGACAGGCTCGTGACGAGAACCATTTTGCATACTTTTTGCCTGTATGATGAACTTGGGACGTTTAACCCTTATCCGGGCAAGGTATTTTTGTGACACAAACGGGCAAGGCCAAACATTTTAGAATTTTTTTCCTTAAAAGCAAATCCAAACTTTAAAAGTTAGTTCCTGAATCTATGGATGACTGTCTATGAAACCCATATCAAATTTGAAGAATATTTTGAAAAATTTGCAGAGAGTAATGAAATGAAATATACCCTGGGGAGTCCAATGGACTCCCCTTGCCCGGATAAGGGTTAAGAGGGATAGCCCGGAAAGAGATGTTTCGACTTCCAGTGTACGTCCTCCACAAGTAAATTTGCAGTGTGGAAATTGTAAGACCTCTGAATGAAAGACACAATGTAAGCGACAAAGTATTTCTCCAACGATGACTCTCCTCCTTGAGTCATTCGGCTTCGCCGCAAGCTTGCGCACCTTTCCCCGGTTCGTCAATCGTAAAGTATTCAGGTTCATCTCTACACGGGATCCACAGTACTCGGTTGAATATTCTTCTCGTGTCCCTTTCAGGTTTGTCGCTTGTTTCTTGGACTCATCGTCTATCAATGGGCAAGGAAATCAGGTATCCAGTTCTGACACAGGTGCCCACTTTACAAGATCATACAGGCCTACATGTCCCGGGGGGGGTTATGGAATCTGGTTCCGTTCTGCAATCGAGTCTACTTCTCAACTGAGTACTCCATCCTCCGTCGAAACATCAGGCTCCACATTGGGGATACTTAGACGACAGTAAAGTCTGGGCAAACCGGAGTAAAATACAATGCATTTTAAATCATTCACAATAATTTTACTCATAGACGCTTGCAAGCTCACACAGCATCTATAATCGGTCAAAGTCACAGATCTTGAAATATCGAGGGAATGTTTTTAGTTTTTGAGGGAAAGCCTCAAAATAGCCTGATAGCATAACCTGATTCAAATAGAGATAAGTAGTTCAATGTATTTATCAATTAAAGTATGTATTTATTCATTTATTTCATGGGTGAGATTTCTTGGGAACGGCGGTAGTGAGCTGCAAATAATTTCAGAAAGCAACAGAAAAATCATTATTCTAGAAGTTATTAACAAAAAATTATCGTTGAAAATTTCACCATTTAATATTCAGTGGTTGAGCTACAAGTGAGTTGCCGAATACATTACGACAGCCGATATCTTAATTCCATAATTCGTGGGTAAATAAAATAAGAAAGGTGAAGAAAAAGCCAGGAAACTATATTTAAATATGAAAATTTGCCCCTTTGGTAGCCGAATTTTCGCTTTCAAAATAGTTTTTTTCCCGACGATAATATCAGCAAAACAAATGAGCATGCCAAAAACTCTATGGCAGAGTACCCAATCTCATTCGCTAACATAATCGTTTTCATTACATATACCTCGACTGGCATAATAAAAAGTCCATGGCCTCGACCCTGGTGCCCAAGGCCAAGAATCAGAAGCCAAAAATCAATTATACACGCTTACTTTTCAGCTTACATTCAATGAAAACCTGCTCTTGACGTCATCAAGGAAACACCACCACTGGCAGATGAACCCTTTGTGCTTCCACATAAGCTAATGCGTACTTTCTTTTGAAGGGTTCAAGCACCCGTTGTGACCTGCTACAGCGGCGATCTAGGCGCCATCTCACTTCAGCTGTGGAATCTTTGCTGACTTGAGTTGCTGCCAGATGGCTTGCATGCTGCTCATTTATTCAACTGCCGTTTTCAACAATTGATTCTCGACCTCGTGCACTAAGTAAATCGAGCCGATGGACGTATTTATTTCAGTAGGTAATATCCAATGGGACTCACGTCAATGATTGCAATTGGACACCTTTTTTCCTCCATCGCAAAATTAAGAAAGAAAACAGCATTTCGAAGAAGTTTTGTTTCCTGAGAAGGTAAATCCTCAGTTGCTAAGGAATAATAATGCATGTGCAAAACTTGATAGCATTATACCCAGCGGTTTCACCAGTCAAACCATTGAGCTATCCGTTGACAGACACAAAGACGACGAAATTAAATTTTCTGAGTCTTTTTTTTTTCCTGCATGCGTTATGTGTTCAAACGTCGTTCTGCTAGCCTTTCGAGTATTTTACTACGGTTTGAATTACGTTCACCACCATAAGAGACAAAAGGTGGGTTACTTATGCATTCCATCAAGCCTTGTCCAAATTTAAGAAAACGGAAGCGTAATGGTAGAATCTATCAGCATAAATAGCGAATACTTTCCTGAGACTAGGACATGCCCGAACTCTAAGTTCATCGTCGTATTATGAAGAATCACGACTGCAAATGAAGCAACTGTCGAAAGCTGAAACTTCGATTGCTCCCGTTTTTATTCTGATAGTGATAATTTCTTTTCGACATATCAGTAATCTCCTTGAACTTCGATCGGCTCACCCATGAAACTCCCCTATGTATAGGCCATGAAGAGATTCATCGTGCCGAAGCAAAGCTATGAGCAGTTATCCAAAAGAAGTTGGATATTGAACATGAATAGAGTTTATGGAGGTAGTCGAGTAAAGGAAACGCCTTCACGCTCGGGTTGCATATCATCCAGGCCAGATAATGCATCTCTTCCTTTGAGTGTCATTCTTCGGGCTGGCCTGTTGTTGCAAATGGTCTCGATGAGCCTCTCTTTTATAATTAATTACTAATAACTCGATGCAGAGTTTGCTCCATGTTTGTTCATTAGAGGGAGTAGTAGACAGAGTGAAATGACAACATTTTCAATTACCGGTGGCTCATAGCCTTGCTTTGGAGGAACGAATTTGCGTGATGTTTCAAAAGGGTGTAGGGAACATATCTGCCTTAGCACAGAGCAAGTTTTCTTAAAATGGAGTCAACAAGACCAAAGCTAGAAAAGTTTTTCTGTTACCGCACCACTGTAGTAAGCGGCAAATCAAACCCCTCAAATCACGTACAAGTACCCATCGCCGATGAAGCAACATTTATGGCTTGTCAACTCACCGGGACTATGATACCCTCATGACATACTTCCCCTGGTAAACCATTCATGCTGCATATCACGGACAGCCAAAAGAGGGAGAAGAAACAAAGTTTCATGCTAGCTAAAAGGTTTTCGTTTCCCTTTTCGTTTCGATGGCCATGGATAGCTGAAAGTGTTTGTACTCATCCAATCAAAATACGGCGCTACTTTCACGATAACACGTTTGATGAATGACAGGGAGATAGGCGGAATGGAATCACGAAGTTTCTCATATCTGGAAAGAGATCAATCCAGAGGGAGGGAATATTTATTCGTTATTCGGTTGATCGTAGGCGGTTTTCGTGACTAAACCTCATGACAGGAGTGGGCTTATGACTTTTCGATCTCGCCGAGTAGGGAGAGGAAGCCGAGGAAAACGACGTTGCAACGGTCTCCTCAGCCACTCCCTCGTGGTAAGTTACGGATTCCATTACAACCATCTGAGAATTGAACTGGGAAACGTCAAGAAGGGAAAAACGGCCTCCTTCTCGTAATCATGAACTGTGCCTTCTCTTTCTCTCTTCCCACTTCCCAGGGGTCTGCAGTGAATGATGACCCACGAGATGGGGGAGGGACGCTAGCTGGGGGAAGGGGAGGGAAGGGAGAAGCTAGTAAGGGGGGGGAGGGAGCAGAGATGATCAATGAATGATGAATCATGGGCTCTAGATTCGGTGACATCTGGGCCGAGACCGAGACACACTGGGGTTGAGGGGGGAGAACCAGATAGCTCCCCTAATTGAATGCTTTCGCTTCTTTTCACGGTCCCCCCACCCCCCTTGTATTGCACTGGCCGGCTGACCGTGTCCATGGACCATGACTCATGCCCACAGAAGAAAGAGCTCGTCTCTGGTCCCTGAGTTCTGACATCATTCGTCTCTCTCAAGACAACACAACATTATCTTCATTCTTCACTCGGTCACGATTTTATCTTATGCTCCCCCTATCTCAACGCCAAGTGTCAAGTGTTTCCTCCTCCAGTCTCCTCCAACTGTCAATGTAAGAGAAACTCCACGCATAGTTGACACTATGATTTCATTTTATTGGTATATCACAACGAACAAGCGTCATTGCCCTCACGCCTCAAACATCAAAACAATCTGACTCAAGACCCTGTTTCTTTTGAAGAATATCTCCCTGGATACCTAGTTAATGTTGATATGTCTCCAGTAAAAGAGAATGATATAAGGTACAACCATTTGGGAAAAGGCATGGAAGGAAAACGTCGCGTTCCTAGGCTATCTGATACGTCTGAAGAATTGGAGGCTGCATTTTATCATGGCGACACGGAATGCTTCCCACTGTACAGCGAATATACGAATGTATATCGATAATCTCTTGGCCAATACACGTCAGAAGCATTTATCGTACACAGCAGATGGTTGGGGTAGGCTGTTATCAGAAGCAATTGCGAAGAGGTCGTATGAGAAGGGGGGGAAGGGGAGGGGAAGAAAAGAAGGACCCTAATGACTCTGAGGGATCGATCCAGAGTTGAGGTCGAGAGGGAGATAACGGGATGACGTGAGGCCCATGCAATATTAAAGCAATACGAGAGATCTGCAAGCTTATTCTTTACCTTTGTTCCTCTTTCGAGATACTGCAAAACCACATGGTAACTTAAGTCCATTGACCTGATCACGCACTTCAAGCACACTGAAAGCAAGAAAAGGCGAAGTCACGCTAAATGAAGTAATGAAGAATATGGAATGTGAAACCAACAATAAGAACCACAAGCCCTCTCATACGCACATAATACTGAATTATAATATGATCAGCATATTTTCTACTTCATACTCTGGAAATTACTTCCAGTTTAGTTTTTCCCAGATTGAGACGCCAGGCAATGATGGGGAACATGACATCAAGTATCAGTCTTCACTCCTCTCTCATGGACTAGTTCGATTTTAGAAATCATACCTCAACGGCGATACACAACGAGGGCTAAGAGGGAGTGTCACGTGACTAGAAGCATGAGAGGTATGATGACTGCGCAGGATTCATACACCCCCATAAAGGATGTAGTCGTAGTCATGAGATTCGACGAGAGCCGAAAGGGATTGTGCCGCAGTAGGCATCCCCTCATGTCATACATGGGTCAATGGACTGTGCTTTTGAAGAGATCCAGTGGCAACATGACTGTAAACGGCACTCTGGAGCTGAGGATTTTGCTTGAACGGAGCTCGACCGTTTGAGACATTATGACCCTGCGTGGGGGATCGGCGACCACAGAGAGACCCATAGCAACGACGCCACGAGTCCAGTGTTTTTGAGGACCACACCCAAAAACCAGACGTGATCCCCACGGCCAGAGACATGAAGTATTTGACCATAAATAGGGAGAAGTCTGGTTGGCTCGGGGTTTCTCTTCCCACACGACACGAGCACAAGTCCGATCTGAACCATTCTTCACGATGAGCTTGCTCATAAAAGATGCACGCTACGACAACGGACGCGGGCACGGTGTACAGAACGCTAAAGATGCAAATTCGGATCATGAGTTTCTCGAGCTTGTCCGCCTTTTGACGGGCTTGTTGGCGAATCACTCTCCGGATGCGGAAGAGTGATACGAAACCAGCCAAGAGGAAGGATGTGCCGAGTAGTAAATAGGCGCTGAGAGGCCCCAGCACGAAGATGCGGAGTCTGTCCACGCTCATATTGCCGACAGTGCAGAGTCCCGATATAGGGTCCCCGTCCACGGCACTCATCGCCAAGACTGTAATGGTCTGCGCGGCGGGCAAGAGCCAAGCACACAAATGGAAGATATGGGCATAGCCAGCAATGGCTTCATTACCCCACTTGAGACCAGCCGCCAAAAACCAGGTGAGGGCGAGGATCACCCACCAAACTGAAGACGCCATACTGAAGAAATAGACGAGAACGAAGACGACTGTGCAGAGGACATTCCCGGTGGCATTATATCGAATAGCTTCTTGGGAGCAGGAGATGGCTTCTGATCCCACGGTCACACGAATGAGGTACCCGACGCTCACCATGAAGTAACAGCCTGATAGGAAGATTGTAGGCCTTTCCGGGTACTTGAATCTCTGCATGTCGATGCAGAAAGTAGTTACCGTGATGAACGTGCTGACGCAACACAGGATGGACCAGATGGAGATCCATAGGTTGGCGAAAGCCAATTCTTCAGCCGAGAAGAAAGCAGACCCATTGCACGGGACGGCACAGTTGTCAACACCAGCTACTTGAATCCCATGATTGTATAGGGGGTGCATTTCCTTCAGCGGTACGTACGGCTCCACACATGAACACGTACATTCCTCTTTGGGGGTGTCCTTTGTCTGATGGGTTCCATAGACGTTAGCCTGTAGCTGATCTTGACAGAAGGGAGTCATGAAGTTCTGGCCTTGGCAGTGAGGAGGGAGAGTTCGTGTGGCGTCGGCTGGGCGGCCCGTGGCCGACGTGTCGGGCAAGGACCCGTTTTTGTAATCCATGCACAACCTATCCGGCTGGCCAAAATCCGGCAGATTATCACAATTCATTCGTTCCGGCCAGCTGAATCCATATTGGGCCATGATTGGAGCGCAGCCGATTTTGGCTCGAAGACACACCGAGCGGCACGGCGGCACGAATTGAGGATAGTCTTCCATGCAAATTGGCATGTACATGGCACATAGAAAGAATTGAAGGTCCGGGGAACATTGGATTGTGACAAGTGGAAGGAACTGTTGAACTTCCAGTCCGGCTTCCACTTGAGTCTCATGATTGAAGATATTAGGGAGTCGGGTATAATTGTAGCCGATCCCGTTGCACATGGACATAGTGATCTCCTCGCATTTCCCTTGCCCCAGGTCCAGCAAATAACTCTGACCATTCACGATCAGTGCAAAGGGCAAGATGATCAAGAGCATCATCTTCATTTTGCTCTTCAATTCATTCTCCCATCCATGTGACCTGAAATGGGAAAGGAAATGAGATGCAATTACGAGTCCTTCTCAATCTAATAAAGGTAATGACAAGCATTTTTCACGGTCTCAATTACAGGCACTGTGAGACACAGCGATAATCGTGGACGCCGAGAAGATCCTCGCGACCTCGGTCACTTGTAATCATGGTCTCAGACACTTCAGTTCAACGACACTCGAAAGGTGGACCACGATTTCGAAATGCAAATAGCTTGAAATAAGCATTCACTCATCCATGCATACCACTTAATGCGGTCGAGTTACTGAGTTGGCATTGACCTAAGCGGAATGCAAGACAGAGACGCATGGGCCTATTAACAACGACACCTCTAATGAGGAACTCGGATGTGTGGGAAAGAGATGCATTGTTTGTGACGTGAGAATGGTATCACGTTACACTCGGCTAGGGCATAAGGGCTGCAGTAAAGTGATGAGTGTCCCTCTCCCTCGACACCATTATTGTACACCTGAAACCGCAAGTCGACGTACGAAAAAAAGCACTGGTACTATTCCTTCATCTGTGTGACCGGAAACACAGGCGACTGTGGTTTTCCTTGCCAGTCTAAACGAAGCCAAGCAGCAGCCACACACATATACACCACATTTGCACACACTCACACCACTCAGTCACAGTGTCAGAAAGTGGATGGGACTGAGACTGGGGAGGTTTTCAATTAGCGCGTCAACCCAGGGACACACGAAGTGAAAGAATGGAGGGTATGAGCAGCACCACTGCTTCTATCTGATGGCTGGCATGAGAAGCAGACGAGGAGACAGATCCTGCCTGAGTCCTGAGGTATTGTTCCCGTCTTCCCTATATATCCAGATGACAGATTGAGATAGGCTGCAGCCCTGTCCGTATGCACTTGCCAGTTGCTCTCTACCTGCTCCCCCCTCCTCTCTCAACTGGTTTCTGGTTCCTTCCTCGCCTCGAGCCCCCCACCTCATTACCTCTTCGCGATTAAGCCCCTCTTCCACGCGATAACGCCCACCAGTCTTCCCCCTCTCGAGTTTCCCCAGCTTAGCATGTCCGTCAGCTTGACAGGTGAAGAAGAAAAAATAAAAAATAAAACTCAACCCTATCCAACATGGACATCCCCCAGTAGAAGGTAATGGATGGAATAAAAGCAGTAAATAGAGGGAAGAGAAGGTAAGAAGATATATTATCAGCTGCCAGTGTGTGGCTTTCATCTCTAACCAAGGAGGGGAGGTGAATAAATAAACAGCCAAGTGCTGGGCATGACGTTTCGGATGTCACAGGCGATGTTTAATAAACAGGAGACCAGGCTTGAAAAAATAAATGATCCACTTCGTTGGAAAAGTGAGGAACCCTTTTCACCTCCAATCACAGGCCTTCCACTTGGCAAGTTCCCATAAATGCCACACGATACATTACGCCATCTGGCAAGGGTTCAGTACGATGACAAACATGTCCTGCCACTCATACAAGTGGATGAGCCACTTCCGCTCCTGCTTACCCTTTACTCCTCTCACTTCTGATAATGCAACCTACAGTATCAAAACTCCGTTTCATTCCGGAAAGGTATAACCAGGCTGTTCCCCATGATAATTAGGCTGCCTCTCGTTAAGTATGTGTCACTTGCTGCGATGCATCATTTGTCCTTGCCAGTTAAGTATACGACACGAATTTCCCATCAGAAGTGCTAGAGAAGAAAGACACGAGACAGATAATAGAGAGAGAGACAGGGGACAGGCCCGTCCCAATCACGGGTAGGGTCGCCTAAAGGGAAACGCGACACGTCCCCAGTCCCCACATCTTGACAATGGAGGGCGAGGAATGTTGATCAGGGAAGGAGGTGAACTGCCTGGGCTCAACAGATAAGGGATTCCCACTGACATCCAAGTGACAGGTCTATTGTCAGCCATCATCTGGCCCACCGATGCCCTGATTAAGTGACTATTATGGTCCGTGCAGCTGCGATTTTCCACCTCGACAGCCCTCCCCTGCGGGACACCCAGGCCTTCCGGGACGATATCGGGCATGTGTCTCTTTGGGGAGCATGTAACTCGGGAACCTTGATCTGAGGAATTATCGTCCAGGATTCGAGACGGATTCGTGGCCTGTGGTGGAGTGGGCCTCAGGCCCAGATGCGTGACTCTAGATTGCTCCCTCCTGTCAAGCCGTCCTTTCCTTGATAGGTCAACGTGTTTGCTGACACCCACCCTAGGTGTCCCCTCCCACTACCCCACACACACAACAGGGAGAGACACACGCATACATCTGTACTCCCCCACCCAATATTTTTCTTTCTCCCTCCCCCACACTCACACAGATGGAAGGCATCTTCACGTCTCGTATGAACCCGTGGAATGAAGTCGAGAGAATAATGTGGTGCTGAACGATAGGAGCAGCGGCGTAGGATGGCATGAAGAATGCTCCTCTTGTCGAGACCTAATCCCTTTGCGAATGGCATTTTGACAGCAGCCCGACGACTGCAATGCAGCACGTGTAGAAATGACGAGACATCATTTAGGTGTCTTCCCATTTTTTTTTCCCTCTCCCATTTCCTACTGCCATTACTAGACCTAATTCTTAACCCCACCAGATGCCTGCAGAAAGGAATCCTCATAACGTCCCATTCCAGACGTGAATGCCGGTCTTCCGCTGCTCAAATTGCACCTAATCCAGGGATGGGCTAGCATCACATAACAGTTGCTGTGCAGGAAAACTAGTCTCTGCTTTGAATTTCTGGACCTTCATAAATGGTCGTTTTCCTAACTTAGGGTTCCATTGCAGTGACGTGGGCAGGAGCGATACTGAAATTCCGCGGAAGCGCAGTGCGGTTCAGATTAGGGCTAAGGAATATAGCCGTTAGATCAGACGATGACGGATTTGTGTTTGGCAAAGTAAACATCGGCAAATACAGTACTATATGTCGCGTAATTCATAACAGATAAATTATGACACGCTTTGTTGACCAGTAGAAGTCAAGATAATGGAAGCTGTGTCGTACGAAAAGGCCAAGAATACATATATGAGTGAAGCAGACTAGGCTTACGGTTATCCAGGAGCTTATTAGACGGCAAGAGTAAAGAAGCGATGAGAAACGGGACGCGAGTCCCTGCCGTGAGCAGCACTAGTCCATATATCATTTCAAAGCAAAGAGCCTGTCAACTCACCTCGATAAACCAGAGCGTGATATATGACGGGGAGGAGCCTTCACGCCCGAGAATCCACTCTACTCATCGCATCATCATATCACCACGCATCGCGAGCGAGAGGCATGACATCGCACCAGTCGAGCCGGCTTCGTGGTGTGAGGGAGAGAGAGAGAGCGCGCGAGAGAGAAACGGAACAACGCACGAGAAGCGGAGCGGGAGCAGAAGCCGTGTAGAGGCCGAGCGCGAAGAGAGAGAAAACAGGGAGGCAGAGCTCGAGATCGATTATGCACATGCGCCCCTCCCCTCTTTTATCAACAAAAGCTTCTATCCCCCAAGTTTCCCAGGCACCCCATCCAGGCTCTATTCAATATAAAAGGCCCTCATTTTCTATTACTTTTTCTCTCTCTCTCTTTCTCACTTGCCTTGGGTCTCTCTATTCACGTCTCGAGGTAACGAGCGACATCCTAATTATCTCATCAATTAGGACGAAAAATCGACGCCCACAAAAAAGTTTCGCTCTTCCTTCTTCCCGCATGACTCAGGTGTAACTAGAAGGCTCACGTGGGAAAATACCAGATGGACGAGTCCAGCGAATGCCGTTCGACATCTGAAGCAATGACCCTCTTTGAATCGCAGCGGGCTCGATATCGAGGAGAGGAGAAGGAGAAACTATTTCCTGGTGTTGACAGCCATTTATTCTTTCCCCCCATCGATTCGCAGAGCCGATTGGAGATTCAGTTCATGCATATTGCCGGATGGAGGGCAAGGGAAACGGCTGACTTTCCAATTCAAATCTTCGCTGAGACTCAATACCCTCCCATTTCCCCCCCTCAGTTCCAGTTCCCTCAGGAAATCTTATCCCTTTGCTTTCTTCCACCACAGAAAACATGTCACCAAATCCCTTCCGAACTGCTGTCCAAGGACAGAGAGGATTAGGCAATATAAACTTCCAACATCTCAATTTCGGGGTGAACATACGCTCGTAGAAGACGAAGAATGGATCTTGCAGGCTCTCCTGTGGCCTTGAGCTCTGCCTGGGAACGACGAGATCCTCGGCCGAGGAACTGCCCATGGCTTTCATACCACAATTTATTGCGAATGTCACAGCTTTGTCATAGAATAATGAGTCGGTAAAGACTGCGGTGGAGTGTTCCGTAGGAGACATGACATACATCCTCGTGTACATCCTCTGATCTTGGATGGCCTCGAGGATGACTCCGGAAAAAAGCGTCTCTCCTAATCGGGGTCGTTGAAATCATAAATTTCCCTGATTGGTCGCAACAGGGTTTCGCCCGACACGAGAAGGCAAGGCACCGTGGACTTAGTAGGGCCGGAGACGATGTTTTTTTGTCTCCACTCGAGCATGAAGTCTTCACATATCAATGAAACCGACCAGGGTTAAATGCCAGTCTGAAAAGAAGATAAATAAGAGCCTGAGATGACATCCTAACGAGTGGCGCACATCCATGGCTATGGGCTGAATGCATTGCTCCTTCTTACGAAGTTGTCTTATTGCTTCTGAAGAAGGAAGGACAGGGCTGGGAGTTCCCAATCCGTCAATCATCCCTTGCGGACAAGAAAGGGCAACTCCCTCCCCTTCGACGGAACGTGCCTATTGTGCTCTTAAGTTAAGACGTGAATCACGGATAATACTGCAGATTCGTGGCCTTGGAGGGATACGTGCAACTTCATCCTCGTGATGGAAGAAATTAACGCTCAGTCACGAAATCCCTGTAGATTCCCCACCCTCCTCCTGTATGCAATTGCACGAGTATGGAACAACTCACGCTGATGTCAAACGTATCAACCCCTAAATTGATATATTTTCTCCAATCGTGGAGCCTTCGAATTCACCAAGTTTCATTCTGTAAAGTCCAGTACTTCTGAATATTTTGTAGCTTCTATTTTTGGATATTTTTCCGGAGGCTAGGCTTACAAACCGATCTACACTAAAACTACGGAACCAATTTCGACGAATGAGATTCCTATGGCATCAACTGATGCTGTGGTATGTCTATAAGGGGACTCAAATACGGGTCTACGGCTAGAAGTTCTAAAACATACTTAGAATCGAGATTTAGCGAGCCCATATGCACACGATGCAGTAAGGATCGCGTGGCATCAGGGGCGGATACAGAAATTGTTCATAGGGGGGGCGGTTCCGAAGTTCCTACCTATCCCCCCCCCCCCCCCCCCCCCTGCTTCCCTTTTCTTTGTCCTGCTTCGATCCCTGCCTCTGCTCCGCATCAAATCCCTCCTTATCTCCTACGAGAGAAGAAATATTAAGCTCTAACCCCCTCCACCCCTTGTTGCCATGGGAACATAATCCCTTCCTTTCACCTTTTTATTTTTCGTCTGGGGTTAGAACTTGAGTATCAATTTCACTGGCTCCAATAAAATTTAATGCAGATGCTATTTTGAATAAATAAATAAAATGCTAATCTGGCAATCTGGTCGCCCCCCCCCCCTGCATCCGCCACCTCGTGGCATCACCCCCAAAAAAGCAAGGATACAAGTATTTGGGGAGTCAGAATTTCTTAGAAGTCTTGTTTCGTTGCTCTCAGGGGCGTCGCCCTAAACGGCGCTTATCATGTTTTGTAAATACAGGTTTCGGCCTACTGTTCTCTGGTCGTCATACGAGTTCTGTGTGCATCGGCTTGAACAAGTCCCTTCATCTATGGGACAACATGGAAAGTTGAGATTTCATTAGGACGCCGTCAGAGGGCTCGGGCGCAGGTATGCATCGTATCCTGAAATCGCCGTGGAGAGATTCCTTTGGTGAATGCCTCGGGCTACGACTCAGATGTACAGACAGGCCATTCCTGCCATTTACTGCCCGGCCTCATGGGGCTGCAGCTCCAAGTCCCTTTGCTCTCACCTCCCCTTTCCCTCGAATCCTCCTTCCTTCCTTCCTTCCCTCCTTGCTTGAGGATCACGTGAACGGCATGCCGAATGCAAGTGGGACATCAGGGACTCGAGGAAGCGGTGGTGGCAATGGACCCGGGTTGAACGGTCCGATCGGGAGTGCAGGACCGGTGGATGCATCCCATCAGCCGATGGTGGGAGTTGCACGACTCCTCGATGATCTCAGGAGGTTGGCTGATGACCGCGAGACTGCAGATTTGCTCTTCCTGCTCGGTCGGGAAGAAACACATCTCCATGGGCATCGACTTATCTTCACGACCAGGTTTGTATTGCATCCTTTGTACACTCTGACGGGGTTGTCTCCCTCCCGTCGAGAGGGGGTGGGGGGGAAAGAGATGGTGTATAGTATGAACATGATGTACGTGAAAAAGTTCCCATGCATTTTCTTGATGTGCTTGTGGTCTGACTCACTCTTGTAAGAAAAAAAGGGCTGTGTCATGAAGTGAAAGGGAGCATGAGAAGTTCGGAGGAGGGATTTGATGCGGAGCAGAGGCAGGGATCGAAGCAGGACAAAGAAAAGGGAAGCAGGGGGGGGGGGGAGTCGACCCTGAGATTCGAGACCCGCTCATTTTCATTCTACTCAACTCGACACGACGGAGGAAGAAAGAACATCGTAGACAAGTCTGGGGGATTGAGAGAGAGACGAAGACTTGCATGCAGGTAGAGGGAAAAGGGCTAAAAGAAGGGAAGAGAGAAAGGAAGGGATTATGTTCCCATGGCAACAAGGGGTGGAGGGGGTTAGAGCTTAATATTTCTTCTCTCGTAGGAGATCCAACCCAAGCGAGGGAGCAGGGAGTGGAATAATCCACTTTCTCCGAGTCTGATCATATTACCTCACCAGCACACTCTGAGAACCCGGGAACAAGTGAATGCTCGAATGCATTGGCGTGGGGTGAAAATTTATATAATTTCATTTTTAAACCCAGATGCAAGAGTTTCCAGAATCTCAAAAGGGGAGAGGTTTGCAAAATTCCTGGTTGCAGTGTTGGAGTTCCTCAGGGCAACGTCACTCCAATTAGACTCCCTCAATTTCATCCTGACAATTTCCGGCAAGTTCTCCTCTACATTTACACGGGGAAGGTGAGTTCTGTTGAAAGTTTGTGACAAGGACCAATACTTTTTCGAGTGGGATCGAGCCCAGTGTTCCTGTGTTCCCCAGATTTTGATGTCCGACAGCACAGTGTTCGAAGTCTTGTCCATTGCTCAAGATCTAGGCCTTGAAGAGCTGCGACAAATGGCAGAAGACCACGTGGCGTCGACGCTTAATCCTAACAATGCCTGCACCTTCATGGCTGCAGCTGTTGCAATAGAAGATAGGACGTCAGGTAAGCGGACTAACGGGAGTCCGTGGACAGATGATAGATAAGTTAATGACACCAGTTAATGGATCCTTTGCAGGGAGCAAGGGCAGCAAGTCATTCGTGGAAAGATGCATTGCCTACATAGGCGAAAACGCTGCCGAGTGTGTTCACACGAACGCCTTCCTCTCCCTGTCAAAGGACGCCTTGATCCGCCTCATCTCCTCGGACAACGTGAGTCACCCTGATGCTCAGTGGTAATAGCAGATCGATTGGAAGTATTTGAAACGTTGGCTGGGGCGCTATAGTTGGCTCTGGAGGAAGAGGAGGTCTGGAGAGCAGTATTGTCCTGGTCGAAACATCAAGCCAAAGTGACTCAGCCCACTGCTCATTGGACTGAAGAAGAGCGATCTCACGTCTGCCATCATCTTGCCGGCGTCATCAACCATGTTCGTCTCCTTTTGATTGGTGAGCACCAAATCTGTCGTCTAAACCTAATTAGACCACGGGATTCAAGTCTCTCACGAATCATGCTGGCTTCTTCAGATAGCCAGGTGTTTGCCGAAGAAGTGGAACCGACCGGAGCGGTTCCAATGGAGCTTTCCCTGGAGAGGTATCGCGCAGCTGCTTTACCCCAGAAGTTCAACGAAGCTCCTCAACAAGACCGTCGTCTTCAGCCGCGATCTGCCGCCAAATTCTTCCCTGGATCTCAGATTCTCGCTGGGGTAAGGCTTTCCTCCATGGAAGCGATTGGAAGGAAATCTCGATTGTGTTGAAGAGCTAGATTTTTTTTTTCTTCTAGGAAGAGAAGGGTTTCCAGAGGCTCCTGAATCAATGGTATGGTGAGCCTCGAACGACATGGAGGCTCCTCTTTCGAGCCTCTTCGCATGGATACTCGGCCCACGCTTTCCATCGCTGCTGTGACGGCGTCGCCCCCACTTACGTCCTCGTCCTTGTGGGTTTGCACCCGTTCACTTGAAGCAATTTATGAGTGGGATTGTAATGATGGGTTCATGGCATCTTTTAACGACAGGGCCCAAGAGGTGAAATATGCGGAGGTTTCAGCGACGTACCTTGGGGTCAAACGTCGTCGAAAGGTCGATTCCTTGCATCTGACAGGGCATTCTTGTTCACGTTGGAAAACGGTCCAGAAATTCCTCCCACGAAGTTTGACGTGGTAAAAAGGACGTTTGCCATTGCTCATCACCCAGAGTGAGTGGAAAGACCAACAAAGAATCGGCATGCTCTTGCATAGGCTTATTTCATCATGGAAGTGGTTTGCTTTGCAGCTTTGGGCCGATCTTCGGGGCGGGAGCGGATCTCTCCATCTCAGACTGTTGCAATATGAACTGTGAAAGCTACAGCAACCTGCCTCACTCCTACGACGGAGAGAACGCCTCGTGCACTCTCTTGATGGGGAACTACAATTTCAATGTCCTGGAATATGAGATTTTTACTCCTGTGGCTCTCAAGTAACGAATGTTGTCGTGGTTCCCCGGCTCTCGCACAATCAAGGTGGTCTCAATCTTGAAAGAAAATTTTTGTTTTGATAGATTTCGTTTTTATTCAATCTATTGTACATTGACTTTCTTGCAGGTCAAGGTCATTCCGTTAAGCAGCCAAGTGAGAAATCACGGAAAGACAAAAATGCGGCTGGCATCTAAAATATTTAATTCACAGCATAGATTTTTGCGAGATCATTTACACTGCATTATCCCGAACGAACCATCACTTCCTCGCAATGCACTGCATAATATCCTCTTTCTCTCTTTTATTTATTTTTCATTTATGCAGAACTTCCTTTTCCCTAGAAACACCCGTAGCTGGGAATCATTTGCCATTGCTCTTGGAAAATCTTCCCCTTCTGATCTATCAATGAGAAATCGGTTCTATTCCTTATCTAAGAAAATGGGTTTCAGCTCATCCAACATTGGTGTAACTCTGGATACCGTGAGTAGTGACCTGACCCATTCAGTTTCAAATAGGTGCTCCAACATGCAGTGGAGAAAGAGAATCCGAACATCTGGATTATGGATACGGATCATGGGGTCTGAAAGAGTTCATCGACAGCAGATTTGACCATGATCTTATTTCTCTCGATCAAGTTGTAGATCGAGTGAGAGCAACGATAAAATGACTGTGCAAGCGGTTCACTCAGCTGTATAATACTTTTCATGCGCTTGATAGCTGACATGAAGCGTTGTGACGGCTAGTCCACGTATCCAGCTTCTTCGATACCCGGCCATATCTGATCTCGTCCTTCAAGTCAAATCGAGTCCCTTATATTTTACAAGTTGAGATATGTTCGAATTTCGATCATTTACGTCCCCATAGACTCGTTCAGAGCTGGGAAATGCCATCCCAATAAAGGGTGAAACGTGAGAAGATTTATTTTTGGTAAATTCAGTTTTTTTTTTCCGCAAGCACCCCAAAACGTACTATGAAGTCATTTAAGTATAACGATGAGTCTCGACGATTTCTTGAAATATAGAACCCGTAACCAAGGTATTTGGAAATATACTCCATCTGGTAAAATAAAAGAATGTCATTATTCTCGACTATCGTCGAAGAACGTCGAAAGAAAGTTCTGCTTTTGACTCCTAGAGCGTGACAGACAGACAGCTATCTGAAGGAAAGGCTAGGAACCAGTGCAAGTCCATGCAGTCCGCCCACTGAGAATGTACTGCAACACCAACATAGCTGAAGGCTTTGAGCAACTGTTTTGCTCTCTTCTTCATTGTGCTTCTATTTTCCTGGCACAGAAAGAAAGGAAGATAAGATTTATATCCTTCCTCGGCTAGCATACTTCACGGGACATAGCCCCGCAGGCTTTGGAAGCCAGGGTGAACGAGCAAGGGCAAGCAGCAGCATTCCGGACATGAAACAAGGCTTGCAATCCTAACTACAATCTTCACAGGGTGACATCAGATCTGTGATCTTCGAAATAGGCACTACACATGTTGGAAGAATATAAAGAATACAACTATTCCAGCAGCAAAGAAGTTATATCATGAGACGCTTTCGTGCATAATGGCAAGAGAATGAGAATCTCTTACAAATTTCAAAAGTTTAACTCCACCCAGTTTTAAGTTTCTCTCCTTTTATATCCCGGTTGTCTCTTTCTCTCTTTTTTAAAAATGATTATTCTGATGTGCTAATCTGATGCTCTGACGACCAGAATCTTAAAACGATACGCATCAATCTATGAATCATGTAAAGGAGAACGCCCAAAACAGCCCCACGTCGACCAACATCAGTTATCATGAGATGGATCTCGAGTAGGAGAATAAAACTGTCAACGGCCTCAGCCCAATCGGTGCACGAGATCAAAAACCGAATCTGAAGTGATGTCCCATAAAGGAGCGGCGGTTGAATTTAACACCTTATTCGTTACGATCGAGCATTGTCATGAAAATTTATTACTCGAACTTTGACCTAGATTAATACAAAACAAATCTCTATGATGTACCAAGCTACCTCATTTGACCTAAAATATTTTAGAAGACCTTTTCCCTGTCTTATCCTGATACGGTTTTCGACCAATGACTCTAGACTAGTGATGCACAACCTGCGGGCCGCAGGCCGCACGCGGCCCGCGGAAACCTTTTATGCGGCCCCATGGATGCCTTCGGTCTCTAAAGGTCCATATTTATATGCGGTCTATTTCGGCTCATGTTCGAGGGCTTGCGGCCCTCGAACCCCTCGAACATGAGCCGAAATCTCAATTTGGCCCTATAGGGAGAAAAGATTGTGCACCACTGCTCAAGACCATGTGCAGCGAGTGAGTCGAAACCATGAATATATTTTTATTTTATTCGAGATCCTTCTACTGATGTCTATGGCGTCGGTCGACGCCAGGGGGCACTGTGCCACAGGGTTTCGTTGGCATTCCCCCTTTTATGGTAACTTCCAAATCCTTCTTTTATATTTAAGCTTGACAAATTCCGTCGGATTCGTCAATCAACTTTCTGTTCGGCCACCCTGGATATCGAAAGGAGATAAACGAAGAGCGGGGAGGGGAATTCAGCAAGGAGAAGTAAGGCCAAATCAGACAAGGATGTGTGAAGCAACTGCGTCGCATGACAGGAAAGAAGAGAGACCCAAAATAAATGATAAGAAAAATATATATTGCCTTTAAAATGCCTGTATGCCACAATCTTATCCATCGCTGTGTGCCTTCCTGTCTCCGGCAGGATTCAGCCATGGGCTCCTGGTCCCCTATTCTCGCTATTTTCATTCTCCTCCATCTGGCCATCAACCTCACCCAGGCAAGTTTTAGAGTTAACAACTTGAGACTCGGCGTGAAATTTAGCTCGATGCACAGTAGAATGGCTTCGTCTGTGAACGTGCCGCTTATGTTTGCGTAGGGACAATCGTGTCCAGTGGGATGGGAGCAGTTCGCCAACAATTGCTACTTTTTCGAAGCTGACAACAGTAGAAAATACCTGTTCGATGACGCTCGTCTGAGATGCTTGGAAGTGGAGTCGGAACTGGCGAGTGTCCACAACCAACAAGAGAGCGATTTCATCGCAAGGAACGTGAAGGCCGCTTACAATTTCCTAGGAGGAGTCGTTACGGGGGATTTGACCTTGGATCCCTTGGACTTCCAATGGGTAGACGGCACACCCTCGGACTTCCACGATTTCAGTAACCAGTTTTTGGATTTCGGTAGCAATTTGGTCATCATGATCGATCGCTGGGAGAATGAGGACTGCACGGAAAGGATGGCCTCCCTCTGCGAACTACCCATTCTCGACGAAATGGATTGTTCCTTGGCTTGGGAACTGGTCGGAGGGAGGCATTGCTATTATGTGGATGATGAACTTCTTACATTCACAGCGTCCCGGTTGGCTTGCTCCAATTTTGAGGCTGAAAGTGATTTGGCAGTGTTCGAAACCGAGGAAGAGTACTTCGAATTCCTTAAGTTCGTTCTGGAGCGATCGTCCAGCGAGAGAAGCCGATTTTGGATAGGGTTGCAACGCTTCAACGAAACGTGGCTCTGGTCGGATGGATCCACGCCTCAACTGGACCACTGGAACGATGGGTATCCGCAGCCGGATAGAGGAGAATGTGGCGCCGTCGTCGCCTCCTCTTGGGCCACTACGAAGATCTGGAGTTACGGTTGGGTTTGTATGAAACCAATTGCTGCCTAATAAAAACTTCCCAACTGATGAGTATTGTTATAATTACATCAACAAGCAAACACCCAGGTAATCAACATGCCATACAAGGCGACGCAAAACTTATTGAATCCAGGGGTTTGCGAGGAGGGACCATTTGTTCGCTGTTTTAGTGCATAACGATTGCCGCTCCTGTAGGCAAGACTTCAAATTAAATATAAATTATGTTGTTAACTGTATTAACTGTAAGTATAAAAATTAAACAAGATATCAGATAAATTTCCGTATATTAGAAGTCAAAGTACTTTTGATCCAAGCTGTATATTGATTGGTATGAACCTGCTTTTTTGATTACATCCTACGTCATTGGGATACTGAATATTGAAATTGTTTAAAGTGTGCGTGCCATTGCTCGGTGCCAAAACATTTCAACCATGTGGGGTGTAACGAGACATGAATACATGTTAGAATGATAGGTATAAGCCTGCCATTCGAATGCCTTCCACATTTTCGCTATCTTGAATATGCGTTGTGCAAAATGGCTTCATCCCAGACGAATTTCCATTGTCATAACTTTCGTTCAAGGTCACATATGATTCTCAAATTAAAGTTGTCCTTTCACTCCCCAAGGTCATAGAGTCCGCGAAGTTTCATTCTCTTTCGTTTCAGTACCGTTACCTTCGGGGATTTGAATATACGCGGAGGGATATCCTATTTTTGTTCTGTTCTTGTGGTGAATGCGGGGGGGGGGGGGGGGGGACTGGAGCTCCCTCAAAATTGGTTCTAGCACCCCTAACTCTGGTCTAAATACATCCACCACCCTCGCGGAGAAGTTGGGGAAATTCTTGCCCCCCTCCGTTCCCGTTGGTCGAAATTCTGCCAATGCGACTGCTATTATCTTGCCTAAATGAGGTTTCAGCATTTGGGCCTTAGAACCCAAATCACACATATAAACCTAGAGCAGGGGTATCAAACTCGATTAGATTGGGGGCCGGATGGAAGCCTTCAGGGGTGATTAGGAGCTACAATAAAAACTGAACGCCTAATCTTTACTGCAAATAGGCTGAAATTTGCAGCACTTTTCCGTAACCAACTGTTGAAGAGGACTTCGCGGGCCGGACAAAATGAACTGGCGGGCCGTCAGTTTGACACCCCTGACCTAGAGCACAACCTACATCTGCACTGATTTCGACGAACAAGATATCGTTCCATTAGCTCTAATTTGACGCTGTAGTATTCCCGCAAACGTAGTAGAAGCTTTACGCTAACACAGGCGGCCTGACGATTGCAAAAGGAGCTTAATTCCTTTTTGAAAGCGAGGAGGTGTGCTAAAAAAAAAGAGGACTGCATCGGCGATCAAAGTTGACTGGTTTGACGGCGTCACTTTCACCAAGCTCCCTTAAGATCTCAATCTCAATCAAGTCGGCTAGAATCTCGAACGCAATTACCGCACACCAAACCCACTGCGACTTGAATCCACCCAAATCCACCCACGAATTGTCGAAACCAGTGGGTGAGCTCGCGATGTGATTCGCCGAGGATATGAGGTCATCGATAACGCTCTAAGTGCGTTCGTGTCTCCAGCCTGCCAGCTGACATGGATCGCATTGCTGCGACGGTCAAGAAGACATATCTGAGCACGTCAAATGAGGGGATTCAATTAATTTAGTGAAAGGGGATTACGCTCTTGCGTGTTAATAGGGGTCTGATGCTGACGGTCGGTTGCATATGTAACACGTTGGTCACTCTATATCTAGGGTTCCCAACTTTTCCGGTTTGACCGGAAGATCCCCATGAAGGAAGCACGGAGCCTTCCGGCCAAAACCCGGAAAAGTTAACTACTCTATCCCTATCACTCTCGTTTACATAAGTTCCATTCTCGTGCCAGCGAATACACTGTTTCCGAATTGAATTCGTACCACCTCCTTATGGTGGAGAATGGAGAAAACAAATTTCCAGAGGTTCCACTTCAGCAGGTGATAGACAAAACCACCAATGTGTAAGATGTCATTACCTGCAATCGATGGAAGCACTCCTGTAGGGGGTACGAATTCTATCCGAAAACAGTGTAGTAATGAAATTTGTTCAGGACCCATATACCTGACAGAGGATCTCTTGTAGGGCAAGTTGAGGATCACATGAGAACAAAAAAGAGATGCGAGTGCTCAATTCTGCTCAACATGGCGGCAACCATGTGTGTAGGACTGGGCCTGCATTGTATTCGCCTGCATTCGGCTTTTTGATTAGTTTAAACCTGTTTTTTCGTATTTATCCAAAACGTTGTCCTATTTCTCCCTTTCCCGTTCGAATCCAGACTCTACTTGAAAACAACGGAAACCAATCCATTTTAACTGGAGGGTCTAGGGGCTACGTTAGCGGTGTTTTCCGGTACAATCATATGATTATAAGTTTAGAATTTCCGGTAAGCATACGGTATCGAACCTTAGTCCCACAAATATGCTCAAGCATAGGCCTAGGCATAACCATTGAATTCATTCCTTGGTCCAACTAAACTCAAATCCGAATGCAATCGGATATCAAAGAGTTAGTCCTAGCATCTGAATGCCCTATCCAGAATGATTTCAGAAAGTTGTACAAATCAGTGGCAACTAATCTTTTCTTCTCTATTGTTGTTCCTTATAGATCACTCACCTATTATTTATCATATATATGCAAAAAAATGAACACCTCAGAACATTTCGAAACAAAACTTGAAAATCCAATGCATAGCTGCAGTAGTTTCATAGATTTATTTGTATCTTCAATATCCACAGTAACTGGGATATTCCATTGGTAATATCTTGGATCTTGAATAGTAAGGGTTTCTTATGTCCAATGTTTTTTTGTTTTTTTTTTCCTAAAGGCCAATAATTTTTAGATGATTATTAGTAGTTGGGGAATGTTGCCCACATGATCACCTGTGAAGGAGGCTTGACTGAGTATTTATGGTTTTGGAAATATACAGGTCAATTTATAAACTTTTAACCATTACGCATCTGTGTTCTGTGAGAGAAGAGTGTGCCCTACAAAGAAACTTACTGCGGTGATATTTTTCTTAACATATCTAATGGTTGTACTTCCAGAGTTGTTCAAAATACTCTGTTTTTGACATTGCACAACTGGCATCCTTCAAAGACCAAATTACTCACTTTCTGTGACAATTCTGTTGTAATGGTGCTGACTTCTCCATTGATGACTCTCTTCAATTCTCATGAGGCTGCTCAAAAATTATATTGTGTTACAATGCTGTAGCACATGGCAAGAATACATAATTCAGTTCATGTACTTTTTAAGGGGGAAAGGCCTTATTTGCAACAGTATAATCGATTTCCTTGTGGAAGGAATGTTTCTCTCCATAAGTACAGTGGTAACAAACTTGTGAATCACACTGACCATGTTTCCTTCTGTCAACTTTTGCACTATGGAAGGAACTATACTTGTGTGTTGGAGTTAATTGAAGAAGTGTCAAACTTCTTTGAAAGACTGTATCAGGGAGGGCTTTGCCATTCCCAAGAAAAGAGTAGACCGCAATGGTGAACATTTAACTAATTCTTTCCACCAAGTTATTAGAACTGTCCTGGTGTCAATGATTGGCAATTAAGGTCTTTGCCTAACATTAACCATAAATATATATTTGGATCAGAAATATTGATAACAATAGGCCTAGAAATACTTAATATCATTGACAAGTTATCTTCCATTTAAAGGAAATAGTCTATCATTGTAATTTTCCATTCTTAGGTTGAGGGGAACCTTTGTATTGGATGCCTGATTAGAGAAAACTGTCAAATTTAGTCCCATGGCAGGTAATCAAAGCCAGCAGTATTGTCTCCGTTGGAACAGCTTTAGTGCAACATTCCTGAGCACTTTTGAAGAGCTTCAGCAGCTGGAATCACTCTGCGATGCAACCTTGTTCTGTGAAGGTAAGTGCCCCTGATCAGTCACCTGTTTTTTTTTCTCCTAGATTTATACAATTGCACTAGCAAGCTTAATGGTACTGGATTATATTGTATTGGATATTCCTTATATTGATGAAGCCCAGATGTCATATCAGAGTTCTCTCTTTTACTTTCTAGGGCACATCGTTAGGGTTCATCGTCTAGTCTTGTCAGCATGCAGCCCACATTTCAGGAAAATATTTGAGCATACAAGTTCCATCAACAGTGGTGATAGTGTAGTCATTCTGGATGGTACTCGTTATGAAGAACTGAAACTCCTTGTCCAATTCATGTACAAAGGAGAAGTGCATCTCACTGAAGAGCAGTTACAACCACTTCTCAAAACTGCTGAACGCTTACAGGTACTGTCTATAGTATGCCTATTTGGGTGTCAGTGAATTTTAGGAATAAGTATTTAAGTGAATGATTTGCCTAAGCCACAGTATTACTTGTTGAATATGTAATATTCCTATCTGGTATTATTTTAGAAATAGTGAAGTTTGTGCACATGTTCTATGATGAAAGCCCTATTATTCCAATATCTTCATGCCCAGTTGCTCCTCTCCTCTCCTCTCCTCTCCTCTCCCTGACTCCTCTGAAACCATGGTTCCAGCTTGTAGAGGTAGTCACTCAGGGTGATCCCTTTTTACCTTTTCCTTGAATTTTTTTTGCCCAAAATTTTGATGCAAGGCAACATGATATGCATTCATGTTTGAAAATCACTGTAGTTCTAGTTTAAATGCATGAAGCAGTCTTTGGGGAAGTTCTTTATGACCCATAGGGCCTTGCATTTTCCTTATAGATTCGAGGGCTGATGGATGTGGCTCAAAAGTCATCTATACAAGTCCCTCGATCAAACTATGTGGTTCATGACCCTTTCAAGCGAAAGAAGCCAGTGGCAGTGGCATCAGCTAGGAAGGCTGAAGACAGAAGTAATTCCAGTATAACTGGAAATGCAGCAGAAGAGCGATTGAATGGAGTAACTGACAAGGTGGATTCTGGTTCTGAGGTGACTGATGATTCACCATCAAAGAAAGAATCTGATTTGGATCGCGATAAAGATGAAGAAAATTCAGGTGGGGTTTGATCCATTTCTTTTTTACATATCTCTACTGTACCTTGTATGATGATGGCTTTTCTTAATGGGCTAAGCCTACATCGAGAGGTGAAAAAAAAAATCCTTGAACCTCTTCTGTTTTTTTAATTTAGAATCAGTGTTTCTTCCTTTGCAGCTTCAATTTCATCACTTTCTGCCAAATTGTAAATATTGGGTATCAAATCATATCCTAAAACTAAAACTTCTAAAACCCAACTTTCCTCATTTTAATGTCCTGCAAGTTTTTTTTATTCCAAAGCCTAATTTGCTGAATAGGGGCTTTGACAATAAAGTAACAATGATGTCCCTATGCTTAGACATAGGAACTTTCTAAAAATTGGGGAGCCAATGACTGAACAGGGGGAGGGGGAAGGCTTTACAAATATGTGAGATTGTTGAAATTTCAGATTTACATGCTTCTCATAACCCCATTAACCATCATGTTTCGCAGCTAATTCCCTGTCTGTAGTTCAATCAATTTAATGAAATTTGGTTCACTTCAGATGGGATGGGCCTTTTGTCAGAACTTATTATTCTTGGCAGCAATGTACAGGGTGGTTCACAAAAAATAACACGTTTGAACAACTATAACTCAGCAATGAATAAAGTTGTCATAATTCAATTTTAACCAATGAATGCAAATTTTATTTTCTTTCATGGTATGAATCATGGTGGATAACATGCCACTAACAATTGAGGAGTGAATCAAAGTTTTGACGTTGTACCACAAGTACCAAAATGCTGTAGAAGTTCAGTATCAGTGGAAGATTAAATTTAACTCTCCTGCACCCACGAGAGCAAACATCATTGTATTGGCAGCAAAGTTCAACAGGACTGGTAGTGTGCAGTGAGCCCCAGGATCTTGTTCTTCCATATTGACCAAAACTGTGGAGACTGGCTACTGTCCTCAGGACACTCAAGCCAACTCCTCAGACATCAACTTGGAGATTAGAGAAAGAGTTAGGAGCACCGAATGATTCTGTTGAGTACACCAACATCATTTTTGACCATGTCAAGAAATGATTCACAAAACTCGACTCTTCTATCACTGTTGTCTCCTTCAAAGGCACGTATCAGTTTGGGCCAGTAAGGCTTGAAGCCACTTGTTTTCAAAATGCACATAATAGTGTACCTGGATGCACCTAGCTCTTACTCTAATCTCTGAGTTGATGTCTGAGGATTTTGCTTAAGTGTCCTGAGGACAGTAGCCAGTCTCCACAGTTTTGGTCAATATGGAAGAACCAGATCCTGGGGCTCATTGCACACTACCAGTCCTGTTGAACTTTGCTGCCAATACAATGATACAATGATGTTTGCTCTTGTGGGTTCAGGAGAGTTAAATTTAATATTCCACTGATACTGAACTTCTGCAGCATTTTGGTACTTGTACAACTTCTAAAATTTGATTTGCGCCTTAACTGTTAGTGGCATGTTATCCATCACGATTCATACCCTGAAAGAAAAGAAAATCTGCCGTTCAATTTCACTATGACAACTTTACTCATTGCCAAGTTATAGTCATTCAAGCATGTTCTGTTTTTTGTGAACCACCCTGTATATCTGACTGGAAGGAAGAGTGTGGCATTTGGCACCCCTGCCCCCTTGGTTTTTTATGCTTATGAACCTACATGTGCAGTAGACTCCTAATTATTCAAAAACATCTTTTGACACTGATTTAAAAATATATACTTGGGGAAGCCTCTTCTAAGAAGGGGTCTTGGTTTTTATGTTTTTGACATTGCGAGTGCTTTTCTCAAAACAGCTTGCTCTGACCTTGCAAAACCTTGAGTGGGAGTACAGATGGACCTTGTTCACAATAGATGACATGGATATCTATGAAACTGATATTTTCTTGAAACAACAATCGAAAGCTACTTAAGGTCTTGAAGAAAGTCACTACTCGAGTAAATTAAATTCATGGACTAAAAATGACAAGGGAATCTGGATGTTCAGCTTTCATATATTACTTACCACTTTCCATGCTTTGCAAAGACATGCTTGACAAGTTGTTGAGATGCTACTATCATTCAAACTAAATATCATTACAGTCCCCTGAATATTCTTTTCATAGAAGATGGAGATTTCAATCACTGTGGAGTGACATCCTATGTGAAAGAGGACCATGGATATTTCAAAGAAGATGGAGTTGAGTCGGAAGTGGAGATGGAAATAGAGGGTGATGGAGAAATAGAGGAAAATGATGCAACCACAGTACATGAAGCTGTTGAAGCTGGAGTTAGTCAGGTAGTCTCTGCATTGGCATTGCCAGGCACAAGTAGTTCAACCCCAGTCAGATCACCTTACAAGCATTGCGTCACTGATAGCAGCACAGGTAAGACCCCTCGTTGCAACTCATGTTGTTCCTGCTTCTGGATTCTATCAAAGTGCATTTAAACCAAAGCTTTTCTGACTGTTTTTGTTAAAATAGAGCTTACTCTGGTAGAACATATAACAGAGACAATATGGGCAAATCCAGTTGAAATCGAAATATTTAGAATAATGAGAAAATACATTATTGCCTCTCTTTGATAAAAGTACAATGAAGTTTGAATTTTGACCACCTTGTTCAAAATTATGATTAAAAAATTTTTGTTGGAATGTATGAAAATTGAGATTAGTAGTTTCTATGCAATTCTAATCAGAGGTCATATCAGGAAATTTATGGTGGGATTTACATGTAAGTTGTTTTCAATGTCTTAAAAATGGCTATTTGTGTTGATAATGATAAAAGTACTGATATAAATACTGGTTACTGAAAAGTAATGATATAAATACTGGTTGCATCTTTCACTTCTTCATTTTATCTTCCAAGAAGGAAATTGAAGTTATCAATTCACTTTAAGTTTGTATCTTCTGATGCCAAATCATGTAGTTTTGATTTTAGAACAAGTAAGAACAATATTCGCTGTGCATCTAGCATGGCTACCAGCCAAAAGGAGCATATAATTGAGTTTTATTCATCTTTGTATCATCACTCTGCTAGATATGGGTAGAATTGATAGAAGAAACATACAAGAGTTTCTTGACTTGTGGGTTAAATTGCAGACTGATTGGACTGAAAATATTATGAAAACTGTTATGAATTTGGAACTGCTATAGATTATGATATGACCTCATCATCAATGTTATGAATGATTTATTGAAATGATGGACCAATACTCCACACCACTGAAATAGGTCTCACTTATCTATATAACAGTAAACACCTTAAAGATACTCTACATTGGTACACTAGAGCCATCCATCAGAACAAATATTTTGTGGAGTCACTCAGTATTGCCATGAAAGCAAACTGTGAAGATGCAAGCATTGGGATTTTTCAGGGGCTTTCAGTTTTGAGTTTCATCTCGTTGCATATTACCACCTGTACCTTTATTTAATGAGGTCACTGCCATGTGCAAGATTTTTAGATATAGTTATATTAAAGAGGTTGATGTGATTTGAAGCCCCTCATTTTATGTTAGTGTTATTTGCATGTTCCTTCCTGGCAATCCCAGCTACATCAAAAAGTGACAATTCCTTCTTCTTTGTGCATAGCTCAATGAGGTTAAATCTGCCACCTACAGCCTGCTTGACATGAGAGTTAGTTCTCAGACATTTTAAAAGTTATTCCATCAATGTCAACACAGTATGAATGGCTTGCAATTGTACTATTGGTAGGAAAAATTCCAATATATGGGCTCTAGTTGATACTATGCTTAAGCTAAGTTTAAGAGCCTCTTTAAGTGTGCCCCTCATGATTTATCATGTTTTCTTGAATAGGTCAAAAAATTCCCCGCCCTCCAAATGCATTTATGATCTTTGCCAATGAGTGGCGAAAGAACTTGGCTTCAGAATACCCTTCTGAGAGCAACAAGGAAATCAGCATCAGACTGGGGACCATATGGAAGAAACTCAGTGCTGAAACAAAGCAGAAGTACTATGATTTGGCAAGAGAAGCAGGGGATAAACACAAGGAGAAGTATCCCTATTATGTTTACAATCCAAAAGAAGCTCGCATCCGGAAGCAGCTGCGATATCAAGCCAAATATGAACCCAAGTTTGTTCCAATAATCAGTGTACAGTCAGAGCCCTCTGATTGTTCAGATATGTATTCTAGCTAAACCCTGGTTGTCCAAATATTCTCTGGTGGAAAAGTTTGTCATGCTTGATATGGTTCTTGTGGTTTTTCATCATGTTCAGACATGTGATAACCGACTTACAATGCTGAATAGTCAGACCCGGTAGTTCATTTATTTGTTACCTATTTTCAGACATTCTCTTGTCATTAATTGTATAATGACAATGCAGTTATAAGTTCCAAAGATATATCCTATCCATCCATTAGTTTGTGTCATGTTAGCTCGATGTTTTCTGTTAATGATCCCTTCAACAAAGAACTATATATTTGTGATGGTGATGATCCTGTGTGACTGAGCTTCCTGTCTTTGTTATTCCTAAATCCTAAATCCTAAATTATTCCAGATATATATGCTCTTCTTGTATGAAATTTTTTTTATGGTCCTTGGATTTGTATATTTTGTACAGCAAAGTTCCTTTTTCATTATTCTATTATGTGAGTGATTTTATGTTGTATGATGTGAAGATAACATTTATTCCACATGTTTTCTATGAGCTTGTTAGTTTTCTGTCACTGTGCAATATTTTTCTTTTTTTTTTCTTTTCATTCACACTATCATATCTTTGTTATTAATGATTGAACTACAGTTAAGTCAGAAATGACTTTGCATGCATACATATAATCAGTCATCTTTTTTTAATGTTGAGGTTGGTATAGGGGGCCCAAGTTTTTCTTTATGATTGTGATTTATTGCACTGTGGTGTCACCATCTCCAAAGTTTCATTTTCCGTCTGAAGCATCCTGTTCTTGCTCTATATTTTCTACCTGTGTGTCAACAAAACATAAGATCCAAGAGTTTACAGTAGAAGCTGACTTTTCACTTCATTTCAAATTTTATTTTTCAAAACAAAAATGGTGTCAGACACAGTGGCGTAGCCAGGATTTTGCCAATGGGGGGGGGCTAAGCGGAATGGTGGGGGGCTTACTTCTCGCCCTGTGTGGGGGGGGGGGGGCAGATGCATGTAAACCTGAGTTGGGAGTGCTGAAGCCCCCCCCCCAGCTCTCCCCTCACTATGCCACTGGTCAGGCATAGACATGGCCATCATGAACGAGGGGTGTTTAGTGATTCCTGTTATCCTTTGAATTTGGTTGATATGACTCCAGAGTTGTGTACTTTCACACTTCAAGGTATGAAGCAGCATGAATTTTTTAATATCTTGGTGACAGTCGTGTATGTTAGTTTGGGTATTGGAACAGGTAATAAATTACTCCTTCCAATATTGCATGAAGCACAGTCCCCAGATGAAGAGAGCTTATTATTGGACTTTACTTTTGTCTGTATACATCATCATGCTCTGAATTGGGAGAAAGGGCCCACTGTTAGGAAACAAGAAGGAAATCACTGGTCTATGAACTGGTTCTCTAGCTCAATGCTGTGAGAGTGTCAGTTTTTTTGGTATACATCTTTCAGATATTGTATTTACTCCTGCATAATTTTATCTCATTTGGTGCATGGGCCCCATAAGCCTTGATGTATTACAACCACAACTTTGTGTGATATCTGTACCTTTCTCATCAAAGTTCTAGAATTGTCAGTTGCAGCTAAGGATAAAGCTATATCCTTTATAATGAATGCCTCACATGGCAATGTTTCCCACATATATAGTGGGAAGAAGCTACAATAGTGCAGAGGGTTCTCCCCTATTTCTTTTTTTTTTTCATTGGTGCTTTCCAGAATTGTGAGCTGTTGGCCATGACATTTTTTTTTCTTGTTTCTGATCAATTGAGTTAGAGAAAATCTAATCTCATTTCTGTGTTTTTCTGACTTGACACATTTGTTGGAGTGTTAGTGATTTTGGTTTGTAAGACTCTTCATGTTTCCCATATTTTGAGAATTCATTCCTATGTGATTGCTCATTCAAATTTCCATTTGTATGCCATGTCTTTCTGTGTCTGTTGAAGTGGATGTGCCTCTTCAGGAAGAAAAATTCAACTAATATACAATAGATGTAGTACGTGCTTCTATTTGCTTTTCCCATATTATCTTGTAAACACCATTCCTCCTTTTATTGCAGTGTCATAAGACACAGCCTGACAGTCAATACTGTGCCTTACCGTGATTTCCAACCAATTAAAACCACAGCCCTGGTGATAGGAAGAACAGTTGAATTTACAGTCAACCCTCGATATACCGCCACTCTCGCTTATCGCCAACTCTTTCCTGAGAACGAATCTTCCCCATAGGCCTACCATAGGCGCTCCCCCGTTTTAGCGCCACCCTCGCTAGCCGCCATCCGCCAACACCTTCCCTCGCACAAACGTGTCTCAATGTATTACTCGATATTACGCCAAACAGCATACTTAACCATCTGCAATCATAATACTGGGTACAAAATGTAATGCTGCCAGTTGCTCCTTTCGCTCCCATGATGGATAGCAAGATTGTGGTTCAAAGTTCAAGGTTGTTGAGTGATATCAAGGAGGCGATAACGCCCATTCGGACACCACGTGTCGAGGTCGAACATTCCTTAACCCTTTCAGACCTGGCGTCCATTCCAATGGACATTGCCTTTACATTGTTGTCTATGGCAATTTCTTAGGATTCTCGTGACTTTGCGCTCTATCTTACGTTACAATTATGCATGGCCTAGTTCCATCAGAGTCCTTCTTTCACCCATTAGTATTGTAATCTTCAGTTATTTAATTAAATGTATAATATATATGGTTTCATATATATGAAAGAAGGAAACCTGCGTTGGCCATTGCTGGTTTCTTCTTAAAAATAGTCACTGATGGGGCAGCCACTACGTCGTCGTCTAACACATTCCACGCGTTCACCACTCTACAAGTAAAAAAGTCCTGTCTCAACCTGAGCCGCAACATGCGGTTTACGCAGCTTGAGTTGATTACTTGTGAGGAATGACTTAGCGTTAAAATAGACCTCCAGAGATTAGAGAGGGGCGTATAGGGTCGCCTAATCCTGTCTCTTCTTTTGGAGAATGGAAATGGCTTGTTCAGATTATACGCAGCTTCTCTTGACGACAGTTCGATGTTATTCACCATCCAGTGATGGGGAAAAGAACGGTCGTAAGTTTGAAGGAAAATTGGAAGTGTGCCGTTAGAAGGAGGCGCATGTTTGACCTTGCGAACAAATTTTCTGTGCTTTAGGACAATAATGTGAGCAGACGGTACGTAGGAGTTTTATTCATTAAAAATAGAAATGGTTGGATTTAATCATGGATTATTTTTCAAGGTTATGTAGTAAGTGTATTCTGAGGCACGGACCATTAGCAGCGTGGATTAATTAAAGTGAAATTTTGTGCATGTTGTATATAAATGAGAAAAAAAAACCTCCATGTTAAAGCCATGCGTTTCGATATAGAGCCAAAATCGGCTGGGACCAACGGTGGCGGTATATCTTGAGTTGACTGTATTATCATTCACCTCAACCTTTTTGTTTCTTTCAATGGCTATTTCCCAATATTAACAACAAATAACTAAGGAAGTTCCTAATTATTCGCGTTATGGATTGGCACAATATACTGCACAGTTATTGTTGTCAGCTTTGAACCATTTGCTAACCTCAAAATTTGATACTTTTTAAATCTCACTTTCCCCCCTCCCCTATGTATAGGGAGGGTGGGACCACTCACCAATTTACACTCATCACCAAAAGAAAGCAGCACCATCAAGAAGTTGAGCGATCTTAACGAAATTTGGCACACAAGCTCGTTGCATTGTGCCGTTAGACTTTCAAGAACGTTGGATGAATATTCATGGATAAAACAGGGCAAACATTCCAATTTAATGGAGGGTGAGGGGGTCATACTAATTGCCCAGAGCTGTCACCCAGAAGGATATTGTGCATGAAATGTGGAACAGGAACTAATGGATTTGTAGTGAAAGTGGGCTATTAGTTCCAAGGTCATAAGATGAGATGATGCAGCGAAAGCTAGTCGAACGCCCGAGGAATGGAGGGAGAACGCGGCGCCATTGATGACACTTATTTCCTCTTCCCCTCAAATCTGTTATTGGCGATTGCTGAGTGACTAACTGGGAAGCAATGCATAGAATAGGCCTCTAAATGCAAGTGCAATTTCAAGTTTTCCGAGTGTTTAGTCGACGAAAGGTTGATTGGGATGCTTAGCACGCATCAGACGGATGCATACGTCGTCATCGATAAATTTAAGAGACCCGGGAACATGAATCATGAACCGCAGAGTGATTGACCAAATCCCCAGACTGCAGATGCTGAGGAAAGCTTTTAAAAGCTCATAGATGTAGGCACACATTGCATCCTGCAATTGGATGTCCCAAAAATCACTCATCGTTGCATTCTGAAATGAGTTCTGGAAAGTTGGGCTATTCGATGCAAGTTGTACACCAATTTGAACCAGAGGACTATGCTGTGCGTGCAGTAATATGGTTTAACCCTGGCTATTGAATGAACTTACGCTACTACTACTACTTTTTTTTTAATATTTGCACATTAGTTGATAGCGTTTTAGATGGTAGTATCAGTCGGTCCAGCCTTGTGGAATATGCGTTCAAAACGGAGACGAATGCGGCCGCATGTTCTTCTGCATCCATGACACAACTTCAACACGCTCACGTTTACTCGACACGGTGACTCAAAGAACGCTTCACTGCCGGCCTGTAAATCCTAGCTGCAATTGTTTGGACCTGCAAAAGGGAAAAACATGGTGATTATATTTAGCACAAAATGGTTAATGACTTTTGGGACTCTCCGTCTAAGAAAAACCATTAGTTTAAAAACCATTTAAATTAATGGTTTAATTAAAAACCATTAGTAAAGATCCTGCATTAATTAAAAAATAAACATAAAACAGCTTATCGGTCTCATTGGATTCCTTTCACTTGTCCTCAGTCCTAATGAGTGACACGATGTCATCCTTCCATACCATTGATGCAAAAATTGGTGACGTGCAATTTGCGAACTGTCATCAGCTCTGTTTCATGCAATCATCTTTTACTTTACGTTTACTGCGGTTCATTCACCTTTCCTCTCCTATTGAATGTCGTGACCTAACTGCATTTCGCCACTGGTGTTGGTTTATGTCGTCGCCTTCAAATGCGAACGACCAAGACGTTTGCAATGCAATTCCCATTGCGCGAAACGTCGGGGCCGTTCGGTTTCTCGCAGCGTCAGTGGGAGAAAATAAGGAATGACGTTTGGGTGATGTTATGGGTGAAAATTGTTGCTTGGTGTGATCATGCGATAAATGTGTAGATGAAACAAGTTATCGATAACGACCAGAATGCGACTACGCAACAGGAAGAAGGGAAAAAATAAAACGCATATCTCATGAATCACGAAGAGCCAGTCATTCGCTCGAAATTCTTTCTCGCCCTCCCTGGATTGGATGCAGGCGAAACGCGATGGACGTCTACCAAGGTGCGAATCGGAGTCGATCGCGCTGTCGGTCATCCGAGTCGCGCGAATCCCATGCGCGTTACGCGCAGACAATCCGGAGTGGTATTCCAAACTGACGGGTAAAATGTGTTTATCGCAAAAATGAAGGCTTTGAACATTACCACGATTTCGATTCGCATTTTGCATGCAGATCTCGATGCCTGGTTCTGAGCAACAATATTCCCTCTCGCCGTCGACTACCGGTTCAATCGTTTCGGTTGCAATCGGGTCGTCGAGGAAATGCGTCCCGAGTTCTGTTCGAAAACGGTAGCCGACAGGACGACACAACGGCGAAAATTTTTCCAGCTCTCAATACCGGACTTCACACTCACAAAATATTCCACGCTAATATTCCCCCAATGTTCCACCCATAAAATGTCCTCCTCGACCGACTGGTTTCTGTCTGGTGCAACTCAATCAATCACTCTCGAAGCAGTCGCTTCTTCTGGCAATGCCCGAGGCTGTGCTTCTGAATCGGAGTACGTTTCATCTCGGAGGGGAAGAAACAAATTAATCGTGGACTCTGCATATTCCCCAGCCTCAGCGTGCTTCTCAGATGTTTATTCGAGTTGCTCAGAGGTTGAAAGCTGTTGTGGCCGGCTCTTTTCATTCTCCTATGTGATGCAAGTTTTCATCACTTTCGGTTGTGGCCTGACATTGAGGAATAATATACATGCGAGGAGAAGTCCATCATCATTTGAAGAAAACTTTGGATTGCCCTGGAATGAAAAGTCATGTTCTTAAAAGTCGTTCGGATGTTTCGAAGGGAATTTTTTTTTTATCTGTTGGATATTATGGCGGTTTTTTTTTTTCCGTCTGGGATTATTTGTCTCTGAATATTCCGCCGCTTACCCGTTCGAAAATGCGTCCAGGGTTTCTGAAGGAAGTGCGAGAGATAGATCCAGGAGAAAATCCGTTCACAATCAGGGAGTCGATCGGGAATTTGTTCAAAAGTTCCTAAGTGAACGCAATTAAGGCTTACTTCCGAGAGATCTGAACAAAAATTTCGTTCCACCCGAAGTCAAATTCCGACAAAGCCTCCGAACCTGCCCGCAAAGGACTTTTCTTCTTCCCGGGAAGACAAAGGGGAAAAGAGGGAATTTGCTTGCCGATGGAATCCCGTTCGACGCCGAAGTGAGGGCGGGCAAAACTTCCCTCGGAATTCCCAGTTGTTTGCGCGGCTACACCCATTCCTTCCGGAAGAAGCGATCGCGCGAGTTCTGCATGGAGATGAGGTGAAGAACGCAGTCATGCGCGGAAGGGGAATATGGGTCAAATGCATCATTCCACGGAATGCGCTCCGAGCGGGCGTGAAGGATAACCGGGGCCTTTTCCTACCATTCATCTTTCCGTTTGAGCACGCCGATGATGAGGGGGTCTCTCCACGGGGCGTTCTACGCGTGCATCGCCTCGGGTCTTCGCGGCTCGGTCGGTGCCGGCGGAAGGCCTGGAGTGCCGCTTCTGGACGTCGGGGATCGTGGATGCTGGGGGAGAGGCGACTTCTCCCGACTCCGTTTTCGCGATTTTTTTTTTTTTTCACGACCGTTCCTCGGGGTGTGATCTCGTCGTGCGTCCGCTCGGTGGAATGACGTCGACAAAAATTGTGGCTTTTTTCATGCGGGCTCACGGAATTCCCGTTTCCAATGTGCTTCGTCGACGACACGCTCGAGTCTCCAGCGATAGTGCAGTGGCCCTCGTTCCTCGCGACCGGGATTCGCGGCGGCTTGTCGTGACCGTGTCCGTCCCGGTGCCATTCCCCGAGTCGAATTCCAACCTTTAGATATGCACTGTGCAATAAACAGAGAGTGATTCGAACTTCGATCTTAGGCATAGAGATAGAAGTGCTTCCGAAGATCGGGCATAAAATAATAAAATTCACTATCTCTTACTCTCGTCATGCTCCGCCGACGAGAGCCGAGCGACGAGTCGCCGACAGTACGAGCTTGAGCTCTGGTTTTCTCTCGCCGTTCAACGTGAGCTTCTCCACTTTGTCTTATCCGTGATGAATTTCACTGTGACTTGAGGGTGACGTCGATGCGAGAGCCTCGGAAACTCATTCCCTGCCAACGTTTGCCCTTTCTCGTGCTTCCTTTCTCGAAAATGGCAAATTGGCACGGATAGCTCATTGTTGCTAAACTCGATACGTCGTAGCGAGTCGGATATTCCGCTAGTTCCGAGTAGGTCCATCGCGATGGGTCGATGCGTCGGTGGTTTCAGGCATCGTTCGTTTTTTTTTCCGCCACCGCAGCGTATCGGTACCATTTTTGAATGGGGAAATGTGACGTAAAATAGAAACAAGTATTGTACAGAGGAAGAGATGACGTGACCTATATGTTCTTCGTACTTTCTATCGCCGTGAAATCCTGGAAACTATCTATTTGAAATACAAAAGGTATTTTAAAAAATAAAAGGAGAAAACTTGCCGAATAGGGGCTAAAAGAATTGATAAGATTGGGAGTTGTTTTTTTCCTCTCTCTCTCTCTCTCTCTCTCTCTCTCTTCTGTTTCAGTCTTCAACTCGAACCCGTAAGGTCCAACCCGTGAACGTGGATTCTCGTCGCTTCGTTTCCAAATGTGGATTGGTTTATTCCCCTCTATATATTCCAGGCTTTCCCGTTAATGAGTCTCATTTATCATGCAGGCTTAAGTTGTTTTATTCTACTTCTCGCTTGAATTTTTTTGCTTGTCCTTGACTTCAGAAAAAAAAAGGAGCCTAGCCATCATCAATTCACACGAATAATTTGGTATACAGGAAGTGTACCTGATGAGGAAGGAAGGCGAAGAGCCGATAGTTAATGTTAATGTTGAATAATGATAAATAATGAAACAAGCTATTAATGATTTCAAGCGTCTGGCCTTTAAGAATCTCTTGCGTGCAAAATTTCATCTAGACCAGGGCTGCCTCATTTTGGAATTTAAAAAAAAATGGTAAGGGCCCTACATAATTTTTTTTTTTTTGCTTGAACGCGAAAAAATTGGTGCGACGGATCCGGCCGAACCTCGGACACCCCCGATGTCACCCGTGATCACTCGTGACGTCACTTCCGGCAGAGATTTCCTCGACGATGGAGCCCGTCCCCATCGGTCCAAGCGCCGACGATTCTCCCCTGGCTCGCGTTTCGCTTGGAACCACCTCGCGACGATGGGGAGGAACTCGTCGAGGAGCCAGCTTAAGCGGTCGAATCGGAAGAACTCGCGAAATTTCTCTTTGTCATTTGAAGGCTTCGAGTGAGAAGAGGCCCGCGACGATCGGCGAAGTTTGCGCGAGGCAGATACCGCCTCTCTTTTTCTCATGTTGTCAACCGGAACGGGGCACCAGATCGGAGTCTCGGAGATTCATTTTTGTTGTTCGATGCATCAATGCTTTGAAAACTGCGATCGTGACAGCCCTAGTTCCAAGAGAACTTTTATGACCCCCCCCCCCCCTCCCTTCCACCGCTCTACGTCTGGCTTCATCTGCCTAGCATGCACTCCTGGACTAGGGTACTTCGTTCTGAAGAAGCTGCATTCGTTTGGGATGCTTGGCTTGATGAATCAAGGAATATGGTCAAAAAGAGGTCCAGAAGCTGATGAGTGAAACAAGCAGCAGAATAGCAGCGGCAGCAATAATAATAATTCTTATGCTAAATTATGGCAAGGAGGAATCCACTATCCATCCAAGCACCGCCTTTAATATGGCACGAAACCAAGCTTTCGTTCAAATAATATCTAAGCGTTAAGACATCATTAACTTCATGCTTGGATGTCGTTCCCTCGTCTAAACGATATAAAATTCACATCAAATGTTATTCCATTGAACAGCAACTCTCATTGTACCTGAGTCTATTTTATTTTTAAATCTCGATCAATTACGTTGCGCATCCGATCGATCCAAGGTTTGTGCGTTATTTCTAATTTTACGTCTGAAATTAGTTTCCAAGTTTCAACGGTATGGATCGAGCAAAACGGGGTCAAGCTGGGTCAAGCGAAACGAGTGCCGTGAGCAGTTTCATTGCCAAGCACGGACGAAGAGAGCTTCCCCGTGAAATGCAGATCTAGCATGAGAAGTTCAGCTTAACGCAGGAATCATCGTGCTGTCATGTGGTTATTATGATCGCGTAGTTGACCGACAGTGAATAGGCTGGTCCATCCAAGCCAAATGCAGTGTCACTCTTGCTAATCCGATAATTTCACCTGGGGGATACTCGACCACATGCCTCGCATCCAGGGACAGCCATTCGCTCCGATGCATTGTGTAATTTTCGCACTAAGCCCCTGGATTTATGAGGGTCGATAAGATATTCTTTCCTTTTTTTTGCAGGTAAGCGTAACTGCGTCTTAAATGGAATTCTCGCGCGAGGAACGAAGAGCCCCCCATTAATATCGAGACAGGACGCGGTCGTGATTGCGAGGAAACGTCGCCGAGGATTGCAGGAAGCAAGCGGCGACGCTGCCTTGCCGCCGAGGACTGTGGCCCAGCGGGCGGTCGCGTTCCGCGCGATGCAGGAATCTGGATGTTCTAGATGGCGCTGCTTGGATGGATAGTGGATTCCTCCTTGCCATAATTTAGCATAAGAATTATTATTATTGCTGCCGCTTCAAAATTCAGCCCTTCATTGAGAGATACAGTTGTCAAACCTGTGCTGTAGGAAGCACTTTTGAGTCAGCATCATCACGATGGTCAAGATCACTAGTACTCAGATGCATTCAATTCTGCTCTCTTTTCATGAAGTTATGAAATGTTGGTGATAAGGAATTATTTATTATATCATGATGTCGAATGCAGCCGTATCAATATGATATGAAATTAACGTCTATAAAAGTGGCATTAATACATTAACTGCATCTGTAATATGAACATGTTGTCATCTTCATGGCAGTTGCAACGAATGGTCTGCAATATACCTGTATATTTACCAGTTAAGCAAAATCCTCGCTCCAAACCTGCAGAGAGACAAAATAGCTTAATAATATCCTTAATAAGGAAATTTCACGCGAAAGAATTCATCTGCCGAATGCAGATCAGAGATGTAGACGGCGCGAGAATCCAGATCTGCGGAGTCCTGGTCCAAGTCCAAGTCCAAGGACTTCAGCGAGGTCCTTTCGAGTCCAAGGCCGAGCGGGATCCAAAAGGAACTGCGAGGTTGCAATGAAACCTCGTTTCTTTACGAACCGAATCAACAACTCGATCCGTGCTCATCGAATGCCATTGCGTTTCGAGTCCGCGTCTCCGACTGTTTTTAAGCACTGTTAAACACTATTAAGCACTGAGCTCAAGTCTCGACTTGAAAAGTTCCGAATCCGCCGGGAAGAAAACGGATTTCCATTCCAGCGCGTGTACGCTTTAGTTTTTAAGTTTTCTTTACTTACGTCTGATGTTGTTTCGGTCAATACACTGCAGGGATGCGAGTCTCCAACGAGTCGTAGCACTTCGAACGTTTCAGTGGCACAACTCCGTGGAACCAGGAAGAAAATCATGAACATGCATTGACGTCACCCTCACGTCAAAGGGAAATATGGTTCACGGTTTATGGACGGTGTAACTTTTGGAAAATTGTTTTTCGATCCACCAGCGCAGAAATGGGGATCTTGGATACCCTCGTAGCCCAAAAAAAATGGGTGATTTTGGGCGTTGGAGGGATTCTATTGTTGGGCGTGATATTGGCCATCGCGATACCCCTCTCTAACAGAGATAGAAACGACGTGTCAGAAACGACGGAACAAATGATTAGGAGAATCCTCAGGGAAGTTCCTCTCGTCGACGGGTGAGTCTCGACGAGTGTGAGATCTCCTTGGGGAATTTCGCGATCGGTACAAATGGAGATTTCATGGCTGTCTCTATCCTTGGTGTTTTTTTTTCTCTTCTAGGCACAACGACTTGCCTTGGTTGATAGCGAAAGTGACTAACAACAGCCTGGAAGGCTGGGACCTGCGTGACGACATGACAAACGGACAAAAGTATGGGGAATGGATTAAGACCAATACGAGTCATACGGACTTGCCTCGACTCCGCAAGGGTTTAGTCGGAGGACAGGTTAAGACGCATATTAATTTGTCGGGAATTTCATGTACCTACATAGCCTTGCCAAACGTATTCTGCCAACGGCAACCAAATGAATCGTGTGCAGCACAATTGATCTTTTCGATATTCCCATTCATGAATCACTGATTCTTCAAATGTTTGCATCCAGTTCTGGGCTGCTTACGTGGACTGCAGTGCAAATTTCAAGGACGCCTTGCATCTTGCCCTGGGCCAAATCGATGTCATCAAGCGATACGTCAATAAATACCACGACGACTTCGAATTCGCCACTACAGCACAAGGTGGGTTTTAGGAGGAATTTTTTAGGTGAGTCCTACAGGAGAAAAAAAAATGTCGAGAGGATTTGCACCAGATCCGTCCAAAAAGTGATCTACGCTCATCATGGGTGTCTAGAAAAATGAGATTATTCCAGTTGTACGTGTTGGCACACTATGAAATCAGGTTAGGTTAAACCGATCTGATGCGCATGAAGCGAAAGCCAGGAGTCGAGGCTGAAGCGGAGTTGCACTTGATCGCACAGATATCGAGAACATCCACAGGCGTGGGAAGATTGCGAGTCTGATCGGATTGGAAGGAGGACATATGATAGAGAGCAGCCTTTCAGTTCTTCGGATGCTCTTCGAATTGGGAGTTCGATACATGACCATCACTCACAACTGTGACACTCCATGGTGAGTTGGCAGAACCGCAATGATGAAAATCAGAATTTTCAGAGATTTTGCCATCGAAGTGCGTGTTTATGTTCCCAGGGCAGAATGGCACAACGAAGGAGAAACATCTCACGATATTACGGGTCTGACTGCCTTTGGTGAGGTACGTGGGGGATCCTTTCAATTTTATCGAACGCGTACGAGCCTCTCACTAAATCTACAGGGCTGCACGTTGGAAAAAATGTTCCTTCCTCTTTCAGCGAGTGGTAGCAGAGATGAATCGGCTGGGCATGATGGTGGATCTGAGTCATGTGTCCCCACAGACGATGAAAGATGCCTTGAGAGTGACCGAAGCACCCGTCATGTACTCTCACTCATCGGCTTGGACGTTGTGCAATGAAACGCGGAACGTTCCTGACGATGTTCTCAAGCTAGTCGTGAGTGGAATGGAGACCTCTTCGTTTCAGATGTTCCTCAGATTTAATTTTTGCTTATATGCTTATGGTTTTGTGAGCTGACGAAATGGCCTTAAGGCCCTAAATGGCCCTCTTTCCCAACCAAGAACGGTAACGCGAGGAAAACGAAAGAGATTCACGATAGGAAGGTTTCTCTGATGGGGAGTTTCTCTTGCATAGTTTCTGATAGAGAAATTATTGCTTCATTCCTTGTGACATATAACAAAAGCTGCGGAATATTCTATGCTTTTGGATCTTCCGATTCCCATTAAATTGGAAGAACTCTTTGACTGAAAATCTGCAGGAAACGCCGTGAAGGACGAGAAGCCGAGACAGTCAGGGATTTAGATGGAGATGCAACGAATATTGCCGGAAATGTTTGTAAAACCATGGAAATTATTGGCACGCCGTTTCTACCAAAGTTTTACCGTCTACTGTTGATTCTTCGCCGATTAGTCGACTTCGGCCATGTGTCAGCATGGTTGAAACGTTTCAACCTCTTGTCAATATTAACACAACGCCGTTGTACCGAACGGGCACCATTTGGCGAGAATTCTTTTTTCCCGAGTTTCGGAACCTGCTCTCCCTATCTTACTTCTCAACCATTGGCCTGACGAAACATTTCTTTCTTTCGAAAGAGCGTCGCCTAAACGACGACGTGCAACTCCGCCCTAAGACCCATAATTACGGCCATCTTTCCCTCGGTTTCAGAGCCTCTGCCATCCGGGAGGAACCGACGCGTCGGTCATTCCATTCCACTGCTTCCGCTTGCAGGCGACGCCGCACACTCGCACGGGCACCAGCGAGATGCTGTGAAGATGACAAGAGGCTTGCCTCTCTTGAGAGGAAGTTCGCGATGCCACGAAGCTTGACATTTATTTTTTTTTCTGGCAGAAGAAGTGAAGTATGATCTTACTATTTACGAGTTTCCTGAAGTTCGGGGTGCGTCTGGAAAACGAGTTACACCAGCTATTTCTGTTTAAAATATGGAAAAGTTCCATTTGCATAGGTTACCCATGAAGTCCGTTTTGTAATGCCGACTTTCTAAGGTATAATATTGGGTTCTTCTGCAACTCTCATTCGCTGACATTTTTAAAGTCACGTTTTGAAATGAATTTCCCTGTAAAATGGCAGGTAATATACAAGGTATCTTTGGCTGAATAATTTAGCATCAATTGTATACTGTTTTTTTTTTTCTGGGAGAGGGTTTCACCCAATTTTCCGCAGAATTTGTAAAGATTTTATCTGAAAATTTCCGGATATATATATATATTTTACGGTGTGAGGAAAAGAAAAAGAACTTCTAATGCCCAATAACTCTTCGAGTATTTATGGGCCTTTTTCTGCCCTCGAGCATCTGTTGCCGAGATGTTATCGCTCTCGAGCAAACCAAACAGATGCTCTCAAGCGAGGCACCCATTTTCGTAACATCGCGAAGCTTCTCCTTTCTTCGCTTGGATTTCCAAGCGACGAATGCGGGGAAGGCGAATCACGTTCGACGCGGCGGCAATCGCTTTTTTTATTATTTACAAGCGGCTTTTTACGGCGGGACAGCCGACGACTTTCGACCCACGTGATTCCGCTTCCACAACTGTGTTCACGATATTTTCGCTACGGATAGATAGATAGGTTTCCAACAATTCTTGAGAATTTAGGCGAAAGTCCTCACGCCCAGGCAAGACTGCGAGCAACTACTCAAGAGTGTTTCGACTCGGAAAATGCAGAGGAGCCCGTGGCAGTCGCGGCGCGGAGGAAACGCCTCCGTGCTCCAGTTGCATATATTGGGTCATCTCATAAGTAATGAGGTTTTTTTTCTATATTTTAAATTAAAAATAAAACAACTTTTCGACAACCTTTAATCAATAATATATTTTTCCTCATTCTCTACGACCTTTTTCCATCTTTCTGGTAAACTTTCTATACCCTTCTTGTAAAATTCCCTTGACTTGGACTCGAAAAACTCCTCCAATACAGTTTTGACTTCATCTGTGGTAGCCAATTTGCATGCAATAAAGTTCCTTAGTAATGGTTCGGCTGGGATTCAACAGATCGAAGTGGGTAATTCCATCCATATCCCACCAAACGCTCAACAAAACCTTCCGTGGGTGAAGTTCCGTGGGCTTTGTACTACAATTTTAAACGTCGCAGACAATGGGTCAGCCCCAGAGAAACGTCAACACCGCAGCCGAAACAAGGACTTCACCCACGGAAGGTTTTGTTGGGCGTTTGGTGGGATATGGATGGCATTATCCACTTCGAACTGTTGAATCCCAGCCAAACCATTACTAAGGAACTTCATTGTATGCAAATTGACCGTTTGAAGACAGCACTGGAGGAAAAACGACCAGCTTTGGTCAACAGGAGAAGAGTTCTGTTTCAACGAACGTTCGCATGTGGCGAGGGTTACGTTGCAGAAACTGGAAAACTTTGACTGGGAAATAATGAACCATCCACCGTATTCACCAGAATCGCTCCATCAGACTGCCACCTGCTCCGGAGTCTACAAAGCCACTTGGACGGAATGCAGATGGCTACCATAGATGAAGTCAAAACTGTATTGGAGGAGTTTTTCGAGTCCAAGTCAAGGGAATTTTACAAAAAGGGGAGAGAAAGTTTACCAGAAAGATGGAAAAAGGTTGTAGAGAATGAGGGAAAATATATTATTGATTAAAGGTTGTCGAAAAGTTGTTTTATTTTTAATTTAAAAATATAGAAAAAAACCGCATTACTTATGGGATGACCCAATACATAGCCACGTCGAACTGCTCTCCCATAAAAACTCATTCTACGGGCTGTCCTCTTGCAGTTGGTTTTTATTTTTTTTTTCGATGCATGGCGGATGGATCAATACAGAGGTTTTGCTCAAAATGTATTCAGATTTTCTCTTGGAGAAGGAGGCAGGCTCCAAAGAGATACTAATATCCTGTCCATTTTCAATTTATAATTTGAATGATTGTTCGTGGCTTAGCTTTGGCCCAGCCAATTTGGATGCATTTTAAAAAGTATCTGGGAGCATGTCAATCTATGTTCAGTGCAAGTTTCATGATAATAGATTCCGTCAGAAAATATACAGGGTGGCGCAAAAGTCGCGCACCATAGGGTAATTTACAGTAAATATTCGAATCGTTTGCCATTAACTTGAAAACACTTCGATTCGTTGTACACATAATGTTTGAACATACGAGATCTTAACTCCACTCTTTCGTCTTTTGTTAATTTTGCTGCCATCAGTTACTTGCAAAGGAAGTAACAAGAATTAATGTAGTGCAACAATGAAATCCTCTATGGTTTCGCGACTTTTGCGCCACCCTGTATATCCGTTAAAATCTGTTGGTCTTTCTTCGGCATGCCTTGTAGTCTTTCCGATGATGACTTCAGGTTAAAACCCATATAGAAGTGTTCTTATAAAAGCACGGGAAGAGGCGGGAAGAGGAGGAATTTTAACAATTTATTTTAAACCCTCAGTCGATGATAAAACTGTATCTCATAAACGGAGGGACCTTGGGCCAGACGACCGACATGCGAAGGTCTGGAAGGTCCACAGAACAGAATAATTTACGTTGATTTGTCTCTTCCATTCGCAGTCACGAAGCCGCATTTTCACTCTGTATTGTAGAATCACTTGCGATGTCAATGTGTCAGTTCACAGATTCCTCATTGCATGCATTGCAGAAAGCCAATGGAGGGGTCGTGATGGTGAATTTCTACAATGGCTTCATCTCGTGCCAGGATAAAGCGACGGTAGACGACGTTATAGGTGATTCATCTGATACGTTTCGTCTCACTCTCGTGTCCACGAATCGTGCAGATCGCTATTCCTGTTCCTATAGCTCACATAAATCACATCAGGAAGGTGGCGGGAGTGGACCACGTGGGCCTTGGCAGCGACTATAACGGCGTGCCCTTGTGAGAACGTTCTCGACGCTTTCGTTTCTGGGCTCGGAGGCATTTACCGCTTGTCTGATTATTGGGATCATCGTCTTTCGTCGTCTCTCCTAGGACACCTGAGGGATTGGAAGACGTCTCAAAATTCCCTAACCTGATGACGAAATTGGCCGAAAGCAAGAACCTCACATGGACCGAAGAAGACTTGAAAAAACTCGCCGGCCTCAACATTCTCCGAGTCATGAGAAGCGTGGAACAAGTGAGGAGACAACAAATCTCATTCCATTTCGAATCTCTTAGAAAATTTATTTTTTCGATGTGGAAAAAATTTGGCAAGAAAACTTTCTCAGCTTGGAAGGCACTCCCCCCCCCCTTTTTTTTTCTCTTTTAAATACATTTATTATTTATTTAAAGTACTGGATATACACAAATCTGTTATCAAAATGAAAAAGTTCTGGAGGCTCTATTATGAAGGCTCTATTAGGAAAAAAGCACCCAGAAAAAAGACCCTCAGAATTGAGAAAAGCGTAAAAATGCCACCCGAGATGAAAATGCAAAAAAAGTCATTCGGGTGGTTGCTTCGTAATTGTTTATTTCTATAAATTTGTACATATCAGATAATTAAAGACATTCACTTGGCGATGTTGAGACACATTCACGCAGGGATGTGGCTGATTATTATTTATGGTGAATATATTTAAAGGTGAATCGCCACCAATTATTCAAGTAACATACTACTGATTTTTCGTTTCCATCTAGAATAAAAAGATGGAAGATGCAAAGCATCGCTCGACTGAAAGCACGTCTTTAAATCTATACAAATATTATTTTCCTACTTTCATTATGAAGGGAAAAAGCACCCTGTTCAGCTATGAACATGGACTCATCTCAACGCAATGCTTGAACAGACTTCAGAGAGGAGGGGGGGGAGGGGGGGGGGGGGGGTGAGACGATGCACAGTTCCGGGGGGGGAANGAGAGGAGGGGGGGGAGGGGGGGGGGGAGGTTGAGACGATGCACAGTTCCGGGGGGTGAATTGAGGAAGGGGAGCTAATTCTGATCCTCTCCACCCCCCGGAAAAAAGGAGTGAAAGTGGATGGGAGGGCGATAAAATAAAAAAAAAACCTTGACACCATGACCCCAGAGCAATTGTTATTTGAGAAAAAATTCAAAGTGTTCAGAGAGTGCAATCATCTCATCCTGCAACACGGCCACAATCAAAAGATTTCCTGCCGGGAGGGGATTCCATTTCACTCATTTTTAAGGAATGGGCTGAAGTTGGACTTGTTTTATTTTTCAGAACGTTGCAGTAAAGTTGATCAAGTTATATGACATCAATATCCCTAAATGTCGCAAAAATGAATGAGTCTTTAATCTGACCTGAACATAACGGGATGGCACTTCCCTGCCTTTGCCAAATCTGGGGGGCTTATTTCCGGATGGCTTTTTTTTTTCCTAAGCCCTTACACTTTTTTTTGTCAGACTTTTTCATTTGAGGGATAATCAACACGGAACCGCAGATTGAAAATTATTATTATTTTCTGATTTTGGCTCAGTTCTTCCTTCTGAGCCCTTTCACGAAAGAGGTTAAAATGCCGCACTCGAATCGGAAGAAAGAATGGAAATTGCTTCATGGATGGTTTCGTCCATGAGTGCCCCGCTTCAGAACAAAAGTAGATTTGAGCAGTGGGAACTTTCACAGTGCGAAGTTCGCGTTGAGCTTCTCAGAAATTCCATTCGGTAAAATAGAGAATACGCTTACGCTGCCTTCCATTAGTCTCACGGCACTTTTTGATGTTCGAATTTGCCGAGAGTAGGAGAATCACGCTGAAAAATATTAATATCGCAAAACAACGGATTCTCTCATCCGTGAAAAGCCAGTAGCGACATGAATTCTTCACTGCCTTCGCAATCAGCTTGCGTTTCCGCGGCATCTCCTATGCCAGCAAGCTGAGTTCCCGTGCCTTTTGCCCATACGCTGCTGATGCGGCTTCGTTGTTCGAAGCTGAAAAACCGGGTGAGGAGGATTCCGAAGCGAATTCCCGAGAAATGTTCACTCTTTTCGTCCAGTCTGTGAACCTTCGTAGATTCGAAAGAATAAGCCATCCTTGGGTATTAAAATGCGCGAGCTTTCACATTAGCTCAATATATTGGACTAATACTGGCCTATTATACAGTGTCACTGTGCTGAGAACATTTCCTATGAGAAAAACTTGCAAACCTGCATAATTTGACATATTTGTTATGTTAGGATGCCGAGTACCTCGCAAATCTGTACAGAGCGTTAGTGGAGTGAATGCAATAAATATATTTATTTTTAAAATTAAAATCAAAGCAAAAGTTCATCGCTCGTACATAGAGACTGACAGAAGTTGGCACATTTTGCAGGTGGCGAGGAATTTGGCGCACCGACAACCAGATTCCACACAACTTCCGGACAAAGACTGGCCGGTAAACACCACGGATTGTGTCTCTCTCTTCAACCCGTTCTACGAGGAAAAATGAGAGCAGCCCACTTTTGTCTTTTCGATTCTATTTATGGTCAACTCAAACTGTGAATACAGAGATTTCTTGAAAATATATTTCGTGTGGCTTTAAACCTCCAGAAGATACTAAAACTCTCGTCGAATTTCGCCCGCATGGGGCCCGAGAGATACTGACCTGTCGAAGATAAGAGTTCGAGCATTATCAGGAGACACGTGTGGATCCCTCAATAAGGCCATATTTCGCGGCTCAGTGGCGCAGGACAAGAGTCATGTCATGTGGTTCCGCGATTGTGAGTGACAAGACTGACAGACGCGTTGCGTTCTGAAGACCACTTTAGGGATTACTAGTTTCAAGCTAATTATCCTCAAAAAACGATCCATCTGTACGATCATATTCTGGCCCTTTCCAATCCATTAAACGAGGTCATAACCGTTCCATGCAGTGTCGAGTCGAGTTGATTTAACTCCCGTGGCGTATTCTGACGTTCAAATGTAAGATTTCAAGTCGGACGACACACTTCCACACGAACTTGATTTTTTAATTATTATTTTCAATGCTTCCTGCCTAATCTTTGGGTCAGAAGTAGTTGCACCGCCTCGGGGAAATGCATGTTTTCGGGCTTCGTGTTTTCCCCTGAAATCAATGAGGCTGACCGTCTTGTCTGGCAGGTTGTTCTGGAGGTTATTTGTCAGCATCATCGTTATCACATCATCATCATCATCCTCATCTCGCCCGCTCCTGCCCCTCCTGTTGGTCTCGCTTGTGGTCCAACCGAGAACTGATCAAAAGTGGGATGATGGAGATGATTCACCTTCTCTGGCCGCTTTTGATCTTGAAGGTTGCTGCTTGCCTGTCATACAAATGAACTCTTCCCAAGAAGTCGTTGTACTCCTTCGCGCAGTAGGAATGCGGAATCAGTGCAATGCCTTGTCCTGGACTGAATAGCAATCCCCGCCGTCGAAGGGCAAGTTGACAGAATGCAACCTGGCCTGTTGTCCGTGCATTGCGCCACGTTGACCGATGTATCCTAACCCACTCTCAAGTTCATGGACCCTTTGTCGGGTCTCATGACGATGTTACACAGTCGGCTGCTCCCAATTTCGGAATTGATTCCGATTCCGTATTACTTCACTTTCTCAGTTCAAATCAAGGATATAAAAAAATTCTGTCTCAACAGGTGAAACCTCCAAGTGAAAGTGGTTCTTTCGGGCCCACGACTACATGGCTTTCCATACTCAGTCATGGTCCCTTAGCCGATTTGGAATCAGCTGTCCGGGATGCTCCATTGTCTTGATACATCTCAAAATCCGGTGTCATTCCATTTCGATTATTCAAAATAAGACGGCGGACTTCTTTCCAAAGCAATATTTTTCTACTTCCTTGCAGATTCCTGGCACAAAAGGGAACAAAATGAGCCAATCTTGTTTGATCAAATTAAGTCATATTTCATACATAATATTATAAATCGGTTGTGTTTGGCGCTATTTGTCCATATTTTTCCCTTAAGAATTTTGCGACATGTCTGGGATTTTTCAGCAGTTGATCCCCTCCTGCTTCACGAAATCGCTTCTACTATCCCCATTTCTTGGATTTCTTGGCTTGGTTCGCTGCAATCAAACATAAATTCACATTTCCGCTCATATTTAACGACTTTTTGGTCATATTTGACGACTTTATGTCTTATAAATCCGCCCTCCAGTCTTAAAAAATTCTCAACCATTGGGATTTCTTGGAACTTTCAAATCTTCATGAACTTCTTGATATGTGCGACTTCATTGTTACTTTCCCGTCGAAAAGACTCGTTATAAAGTTTGTGAAATCTCGTTCGCGGTCCGGGGACACGAACGGGGAACAAGATGATGTCATCAATGATATAACAGATTAGCTCAGCCCCCAAAATTCCCGTCATCCTTTGGGGCCGGTTACTTCAGACCTCGTTTTCGCATTCTGAAGAGCAAATCGTGCGTTGGTAAGTATATCATGTTATATACATGCCATATATATAACATTATATATTTCATATGCCATGCTTAGGAACCATTACGTTATACCATTGCTGGACGCTTCTATCGAAGAGCTCGAATGTATGACGTGATGTTGATTTCAGTGCAGGGGGAATCGAGGAAAGAGGCTTCTTAGCCTTTACTTGTTTGTGGATTTGGAAAGTCCAAGACAGAAGCCTGCATCAATTCGCAGGCATTGGAGATGTCTTGATGGGCCTTGACTTCCGGGACCCTGAATAAACATTTTTCAGAAAACTGAAGACTCCCGCGCCTCTTTGGCCCCAAAAGTGCAGCATGATGAGCTTGTTCTACGCGTGAGCGTTGGCGTCACCTTCAAGCTGAAGTTAAACAGTAGATTATTCTTCATGGACGGCGTAACTTTCAGGGAATAGTTAAAAAACTCATTAGCACAAATATGGGGATCTTGGAGACCCTCGGACCCCACAAACGATGGGTGATGGTGTGCAATGGAGGGGTTCTCATGCTGAGCCTCATTTTGGCCATCGCGATACCTCTTTATCTCAGGAGCAAGCCAGAAACTCCAGAACAAATGGTGGCGAGAATCCTCAGCGAAGTTCCTCTCATCGATGGGTAAGGTTTAATGGGTGGGACCACGAAAGGTTTCGCGATCTCTTTCGCTTCGCCAAGTGGAAGGGGAGATTTCATGGCTGCCTTCATCCTCTGTTCTTTCTCAGTCACAACGACCTGGCGTGGTTGATATGGATGGTGACGAATAATAACCTGGAAGGCTGGGACCTGCGTGACGATATGACACACGTATCGAATTATGAGGAATGGATTAGGACCAACTTGAGTCAGACAGACATTCCTCGACTCCGACAGGGCCTCGTCGGAGGACAGGTGAGAAAACGTATTAATTAATTTGGTCACTGGGCCCAATTGGGACATGCGAATAAACCAGGTTCTTGATCAATTTGGAAATGCCACACCCATCGCTTCAACACGAGAAACCTCTGCTAAAAGTAAAGTCCATTCAGATATAATCACCAAATAGGTAACTAAGGCAACTATAGTTTGTCCAACCTCGGAAAGGAAAAGATGGCATGCACCCTTAATGGTGTACCATTTCATAAAAATGGTTAAAGCCTATCAATACCCAGCCTTGCTTTTGTTTCAAACCTGGCTTATGGGAAACGGAAGGGTGTGGAAGAAGGCATAAATAGGATAGATGTGACTTTTGCTGCTGTTTTTGGATTAAGAATGACCCTTCTGGAATTGAAATATATGGTAACTCCTAGTGAGTACATTTTACAAAGATACCAAAGCATAAATAGTTCACGACTGAAAGAGTTAATTTATGCGGAATGGTCTTTTCATGAATGCAATGGAATTCGACTATACAGTATCAAATGCACTCGAACTCCAATGACAAGGAACTGCATCGGGTGCAGCACAATAGATCTTTTCGATTCTCACAATCATGAGCGTGCGCTCTCACTGAGTTCTTCTCTTCAAATCTTTGCATTCAGTTCTGGTCTGCTTACGTGGAATGCGATGCTAACTTCAAGGATGCTTTGCATCTTGCCCTTGAGCAAATCGACGTCATCAAGCGATTCGTCAATAAATACCACGACGACTTCGAATTCGCTACTACAGCACAAGGTGAGTTAGAGGAGGAATCTTTGAGACAAGTCCTGTTCAAGACTACAGGGAAAAAGTATTTAGAGGATCTGCACCAATTCTGTCCAAAAGTGATCTACCCTACACATGGGTGTCTAGAAAAATGAAATTATTCCAGTTACACGTGTGAGCACACTATGAAGTCAGGTTGGGTTAAACCGATCTGATGCGCATGAAGCGAAGGCCAGGAGTCGTGGCTAAAGCGGAGTTGCACTTGGTCGCACAGATATCGAGGATATCCACAGGCGTGGGAAGATTGCGAGTCTGATCGGATTGGAAGGAGGACATATGATAGAGAGCAGCCTTTCAGTTCTTCGGATGCTCTTCGAATTGGGAGTTCGATACATGACCATCACTCACAACTGTGACACTCCATGGTGAGTTGGCAGAACCGCAATGATGAAAATCAGAATTTTCAGAGATTTTGCCATCGGAGGGTATGTTTCTGTTCCCAGGGCAGAGTGGCACAACGAAGGAGAAACATCTCACAATGTTACTGGTCTGACTGCCTTTGGTGAGGTAGATGGGGGATCCCTTCAATTTTATTTTATAGTGTAAGGGACTGGCGCTGACTCCACACGGACGCACCCCTGAAAAAAAATTTCCTCCTCTTTCAGCAAGTGGTAAGGGAGATGAATCGGCTGGGCATGATGCTGGATCTGAGCCATGTATCCACACAAACGATGAAAGATGCCTTGAGAGTGACTGAAGCACCCGTCATGTTCTCTCACTCTTCGGCTTTTGCGTTGTGCAATGAAACGCGGAATGTTCCTGACGATGTTCTCCAGCAAGTAGTAAGTGGAATGAAGACTTCTTCATGTCAGATACTTCATGTATTTAACCCTTTACACTCGGTTGTCGAGCGTGGCTCGACAATGTCCATAGCGTTGCGAGAAAACGGAGTGCAAATGGTTAATTTTTATTGTGCTTATGCCCAACTAGCTGATAATATGCCAAAAAGGCCCAAAGTATTGCCCCTCCATCATTCTGTGACAAGAACGATGGCAAAAGGAGAACGCAAGACATGGTGCATTGAATATGAATCGCTGAAGATTAATATCATCTGCTGCATTTTTAATCATACAGAGAACATCCCTTATCACTAGTGTCACGGTGCATAACCTGCGGATTCATCTATGCTTCACAAACCCTTTTCCGGCATTTTTTGCTTCCCATGGAAAATAATTATCGGAATGCTTGGGAGCAATAATTATTTTTTGTATATTTGCAAAATTGTCATTCATGTGATACGGATCTTGGGTGTATTCCATTCTAAGGATTAGTCTTATATACAAATTCGGAGAAACTCTTCAGGTCACACAGATGTGACAGTTGCCTTCAAGCTCTTCAGTAAAAATGAAGTTAAAATTAAAATAAACCTTCATTTTCTAATTCTCCTGAGCATGGACGTGAGAAGATTTCGACCCCCACCCTCTCCGCTGCCAAGGCATCGCACTTTAAGAAAATCGGAACTGATGTTGTCTGATCTGGCCACATCATCTGATCGCTCCTACCCTTATTTTCATCAAGTGAACAATGGGGTTAAGGTGGAACGTGTTCGACGTTACGAATCGACGGTTGGATATGAACATCCCTGCAATGACGTGGTGAAACATCATTTGGAATACACTTAAGAGAGCGTGAAAAAGAGTGTCAATCATCTTGATGCATATCTTGGTTTAACTTATTTGAGAGCAATAACTTAAAACAAGAGAGACTTCACAAACAAGAGAGAGGCAAAAAGAGACGTGCTCAGAAATCACAGTAAAACAGAAGTTAGTACTAATGGTTCCACTCCATTCACAGTCCCATAACAATCCTTTAACTTTTTAATTAATGGTATTACTTGCGAGGTTTTCATCATTTCCTCATTTCATTCATCGCAGAAAGCCAATGGAGGGGTCGTGATGGTGAACTTTTTCAACAAGTTCATTTCATGCGGCCTCAACGCCTCAGTCGACGACGTTATAGGTGATCCATCTAGTCGGCTTCGCCGCTCTCCAGTGTCTATGAATTTCGCAGATTGTTATTGTTTCTTCAGACCACATAAATCACATCAGGAAGGTGGCGGGAGTGGACCACGTGGGTCTTGGCAGCGACTTTAATGGAATTTCCTTGTGAGAAAGTTCTTAATATTTGAAATTTTTTTCTCTTATTAGTCCCATGATCGAGTTCATCATCTTTCGTCGTCTCTCATAGGACACCTGTGGGCTTGGAAGACGTCTCAAAATTCCCTAACCTCTTGAAGAAACTGGCTGAAAGTAAGGATCCCATGTGGAACGAAGAAGACTTGAAAAAACTCGCTGGCCTCAATATTCTCCGAGTCATGAGAAGAGTGGAGCAAGTGAGGAAACCACAAATTCACTCTGTCCTAAAAGACACTCCTATTATAATCTCTTTCAAAGATTACAGGAAATAAATATTTAAACAATACTTTTGGGAGTCGTCATTGCTCTTGAACTCAAGGAAGTCCATGCATAATGACGGAATGGGGACTTCCAAAGTGCAAGGTTCTTGTGTTTCTCAGAAATTTTCTTTAGAAATGTTCGATCCAAATATCTGGACATTTGGTGCGGTTTGACCAACCCATTGTGCTCTGGGTGGTCCCACGACAGATGAACATGATCCCCTAGTGGGACGTGATGGCAATTAATCTCCTGTACCATATAAAAAAAAAACATGCAAATTGAAAAGGATTGAGAGAGGTACTATAATTGGCTGTCATATGCCTATTGTATGGCAGCCATGAGTAATCAATCAGTGGAACAGTCGCGATGGTTGGTCATTCAAAGTATATTTAGCATGAAATCACACGTTGACCGCCACGGAAATGCTGGCCTTTAATTTTCCCATTCAGTGAGGCGCACCGGTGCGCCTCGTGGTGGTCAACCTGTTAAGAGATATAGAAGGAAAGGTACCACGACATCAATACCAAGTTCGGCAAGAAAGATTTTGCTGTCGAACCGCGAGAAACGCGTCTAACTTAGAGTTTTGAAGGGAAATCAGTCCTTCTTACTCTCAGAGATCCCCACTGCTGTTATTGCCACTCTACCTGCCCAACATAACAACTCGCAATACCAGGTCTACATGCAGTGTCGCTAGGGGGGTGGGGTGCATATGGGGGTGACGACTTGGTTGCGGACCATTGATCTCGAATATGTTGGAGCTATGAGAACTTCTTTATCCTCTTCAAAGTGACGGCCATGTGTGGATTTGAAGGCAGCGTGAGGAATACGACCCGAAACGTGTTAATTTTTTTCTGGTGGTGGTGTAACGGTATGCGCTGCATTTTGCTCGCTTGGTGTAAATCATTTTTGTGAAGTGCCCATGAGTCTGAATGTAGGTTGATAGGACATCGTGGCCAGGATGTCATGACCAGCACATGCCAAAAGCTATTGCTGGAGCTTTTTTGTTTTGTGTCTTAATATGTACTTCCAAAACTGCGACCATTTTCCACGATGCACCGGTAAACCGTTCAGGGTGTCATAGGATCAACTTAGTGTCATGCCTTGGACAAAGCCCTAACCTCAACACGACTGAATAGCTGTGAAACTGTCTGCATAAATTTGCGGTCAATGTTAAAATATTCAGAACTCATCAGGTCCTAGTTGAAATGATCTGCAATTTTAGTTGTTGAAATGTAAAAGAATGAAATTTTTGTGCGACTACAGAATGATTCATCAGATACATTCCATGTTGTACTTTGGGAGTTTGGGAGTTTTATCCTTTCTTCGTGAAAGGATAAAAGACGGGCAGCGGATGATCATTTTTTAATGTCCAACCACTCGAAGGAAATTTCAAAGATGCTCCAAGAAACCAACAAAGGGTGACAGTATTTGTTGCATATCTCAGGTGGCGAAGAATATGGTCCATCGAGAACCAGATTCTACAACTCTTCCTCACAAGGACTGGCCAATAAACACCACGGATTGCATCTCTCGTGTTAGTTCATTCTACAAGGAGGAATGACAAAATTCTTCAAAGTTTGTCTTCGAATCTATGCATGGATATTTTGATTTGCAAATACAGAGAGATTTCTTGAAGTTGTTTTGAGTGATTCACTTTTAAGTGCCTCATCTGCGTGGGGTCTGAGAGATACTGAACTTGTTGTAGATAGGAATTCAAGTACTCTCAGGAGACCTGAGAGGACCTCTATGGAGGAAAATGATACGGCTCAGTCGCACAGGACAGGAGTTATGTCATGTGGTTTCACGATTGTGAGTGACAAGACTGACAGATGCATCGCGTTCTAAAGGCCACTTTAGGGATTTCTAGTTTCAAGCTAATAATCCTCAAAAGCGATCCAACTGTACGGTCATACTCTCTGGCCTTTCTAATCCATTTAGCGAGGTCACAACCACTCGATGCAGTGTCGAGTCGAATTGAATTCCAATGACGCAGCGGTCACTTCATGAGTTAGAATTTGACAGGAAATTCAGCTACTTATAGTTTTCCGCTGGTTAACTGTCACAGTCTAGGTCGGAAAACGCACCCCGACGTGAATTTGAATTTTTGACTTCACGTTACGCGATAGGAAGATCCAACCATAACGTTTCTTTGAACTCGCACTTCGTGAAAAACCAATTGTTTCAGGTTTGAAATGAATCCCTGAAAATTCAACCCTACACGGAACGGCGACCTCGTATTTTGCTCTCTTCTCCCAACAGTGCACCCTCCCAATTCCTCGTGATGACAATTCCTCCCAATCGCTAAGGACAAGTTTACAGTTGGAACGTTCGGGGTAGTCGATTGAATGCCATCAGCGTTGCATCCAGCGTTGCATAAAGTATTCTGGCATTCTATCATCTAAAAATTGCAATTTTGAATGCAATTTCTGATGATATCATGGATCTTGCCAATCCAATACCAAAGACAATAATTTTTTCCCCTCAAAAAAATAGCAAAATAGTCCTATCAGTATTGACAGTTAACATTAAGGGCTTCATCTGAGATGAACAGCGTCACCTGCTCAGGATTTTAGGGAGGAGTCATTATGAGAAAATTTTAAATGCCCACTATTGACGGGTGCTCATAACCCGTGAAGGCGGTGAACCCATGCTTTTCAAAAGTAACCTGTTTCTTTGTTATTAAAAATATAACTTCAAAAAATTTTTATGCATTTTATACATAAATACGGTAGATATATATCTATTCCCCCCACCCCAGGCTTGATATAGGGGTTATGGGAAATATTGCGATTGAAACGTGACAATAATACATGCAGAAATGTGAACTGCAGAACAGAGGAAAAAAATAGTTGGTCTATCTTGAAACCAAATCTGACATTTTCGCAGCTGAATGTATCTGCGACAAAAGGGACTTGGATCCCAAACGGTAAGCCATCACGACAATGCTTCGCAAGCATGCAAGATGCACCAAAATCTAGATCTATACTTGGCAAGAGTGCCTGTGTATGGGAACAGAATTAGAATCAAATTCAAAGAAATTATCTAATTCAAAGAAAGTCCGAAAAGGAAGAAATGTCATGGCTGCTCGGAAAATGAAGTAAATTTAATTAGTTAATTGTTTCTCGGCAATCGCATTAAGAAACAATAAACGGCGATAAAAGTGTGAAAGTACATGCCATGATCGGAATCTATACCTTGGAATAGAGGCTGCTGAAATCGGCGCATGCATCATTAAAATGGCAAGAACTGTTTGAAATGGCATTTAGGAGTGTCTAGAGCGGGCGTGCACAACTCAAAAGACAGAGCCATTTACGGTTTTTATTCACATACCGCGGGTCGCAGTCTAGCTGGCCATAGCTGTGGCCAACAGGGCAGGAGCCACAGCAGCACTTACAACGCCACCGGTCATGTGGGCCGTGTGTTGTGCACTTCTGGTCTAGGGGAAGAGGAATGCAGTGTGATCACGGAAATTCACTGGCAGCTCTTAGCCTAATACGAAGACAATGAATTCGCAGAACAGCGGGTTTACAAGTGATGCGAATGCTTCAAATGCCGACATGCATGCGAAGAACGTAAAGCATCCCGTTCCGAACGGGATTCGTTCCACACAAACACGCACGGACCTGTCACAACCTTTCATACCGCTTGTAAATTTATCGTTCTGATAATGCTCATGCTCTGTACAAGACAAGAAGTTGTCGGCGGATTTCACAAGATTTTCTAGGTTTTATGATCATACTGGGCTGTTCAGTCGGACTCTCCTCTTCTACATGCGCCATTTGCAGCAGCGTACTGCGTATACGTCATCCAAAAATGTAATAGAGAGATTGCCCTAGTGAACATACGAGGTCTGACAGTAAAATAACGAGATTGACAACACTGTAATGCGTGTGGCAACACTTGGTTACTGGCGATTGCTGTAACCTGTCAGTGCATGTCTTGAGTCTCTGCAGTAACAAACTTGTCATGATACTTCTAATGATTGCAGATCAGTACCACTTTACCTAAAGTAGTGTTAGGGTCACTGGTAAAAAAAAAAGGGAGATAATATTATGAACAAAGAATCAACGTGAAATTTCTAATCAAACTCGGGAAAAAACCAATTGAAGTCTTTGAAATGTTGAAACAAGTGTACGGAGACGAGGTTGTATCCAAAGCAAAATGTCTTTGAATGTTGTAAACGCTTTTCTGAAGGAAGGAAAGAAGTTGAGTTTGACGACGACCTGGACGTCCGACAACTTCAAAATCGGATGAAAAAATGGAAAATGCGAGAACTCTGGTGCGAAGTGATCGTCGTCTTATTGTCAGAAATGATTGCCAAAGAACTATGTATCAATAGACAGTACGATTGATTTTAACGGAAAGTTCAACATTTCAAAGACTTCAGTTGGTTTTTTCCCGAGTTTGATTCGAAATTTCACATTTATTCTTTGTTCATAATATCATCACCAATTTCTTTTTACCAGTGCCCCTAACACTACTTTAGGTAAAGTGGTACTGATCTGCAATCACTAGAAGAATCACGACAAGTTTGTTACTGCAGACTCAAGACATGCACTGACAGGTTACAGCAATCGCCAGTAACCCAGTGTTGTCACACGCATTACAGTGTTGTCAGTCTCGTTATTTTATTGTTAGACCTCGTACTTCAGTGATATATCTTGTCATATGGACACAAACGCCAATTTTCGGATGAACAACTCGTACATGCGCCGTCTGCCTCAGCGGCTTGCCCCACACCTAGACACCAGTCGAGACATGTACTTTCACACTGTCATCACAGTTAACGATTTCTAAATGCTATAGGTGATGCACAATTGCATCGATTTCACTCTCTTAAGTGCTCTCGTGATGCCGCAGGCACCTTCGCTGAATCAGTGCCACAGACTTAATTTCAAGATAGAATAAGGGAGTAGATTAGGGGTAGGAAAGACTTCCCGTCTGGAAATAAAGAAGGTGTCAGGCCTGCCATGTCGATGAAGTAGGCCTAGACTTGTAGGCCTTGTAGGTGTTGTTCAGGGGGTCCGGACACTCCCCAGAATGAAGCAAGACTTTATGAAACGAGTCACGGAGTGAAATGGGATCTCACCGCGGCTCAGCCTTCCTGGAGGGAGAAGGAATTGCATCTCGTCAGAGATGACAGGGATCCGACTGACACTCGGGTGGGAGACCACCGGTCCAGCCACTTAATATGCCGCAAGAACGTTCTCCGCACGCATGAGCTTTCGTTCGCTCTTCGACGTTTGGGGGGACTTCGCGAGGGAAAATCGTTGAAACGAAATTCTTAATCGTCCGGTAGAGTGTTGCTCGAACTCGGCCCCTGCTAAGTTTCGTCGTACGATTTTTCGTAGTTACAGAGGATTTCGGGAAGGCGAATACCTACCAAAATATCGATTTTATCGATGGTTCCGGCTCGACGCACGAACGCGCTTACGATAACTCTCATGTACCAGGATACGATTCTCGAACTACCTATGCCAAGTCAATGAACAATTGATTTCCTAGAATATTAGGATCCGCCCATCGGACTTCTGCATCCGTCCGAACGGCGAAATCGATCCTCCCACTTTCGTTCAGAAAGTAACAGCTCCGGGAGAAACTGAATAATGCGAGCAACCGAGTGCCCCCAGAATGCGAGAGAAAGGGCGAGGGGGGGGCGAGGGGGGGGGGGGCCTTTGGAATTTTCCTCTTCTGCCCCCCCACGCACTGTCGTGTAATGGGTCGGGAAGGAATCCACGGGACACCCATCCGGAATTCCTGGCTACTTGAGGAATGAGGACAGCTTGGACCTATATGGCCTCTTCGTGCTTTCGTCATTTAGAAAGTAGAGAAAATAAATTTGATTTTTCGCTTTCGGTCTTCGTGGGACCGATACTCTCGGCCCCCCCCCCCCCCCCCCCCCCCCCCCCCCCCCCGCCCCCCCCCCCCCCCCCCCCCTCCCACCCCCCCCCCCCCCCCCCCCCCCCCCCCGAGTCCCTATGTAAAATCTAGCAGTGGCAGGAAATGCTCCATTTACATCTAATATGATTAATTATAATATTCAAGTGTATTATAATATACACGTAAGACTCCGCTTGGAGTCTCGAAAGGGTAAATAAAACGAAAACTGTCCTTATTAACCCTTTCGCTGCGAAAAGCGACTTTAGCCGCTTTATTATTTACGACCCTTCGCTGCGTAATTTGACTTATTTAAACCCCTAAACCAAAATTCAATCCGCAGCGAAAGGGTTAATAATTGTATTTGCTCCATCAATGAAAAATATATAAAAATTAGCTTCAAACATCCGAATTTTATGCTGCAACTAAACATCATTTCGACCTGCAAGCCGCCCAGAATGCATCTTTCGACCGCATTTCCTTCCCCAAGGAAAAAAAAAGAAGAGAAAACTCCGGAAGCGGCGAAAGACAAGTCGGTCACGGATCAACGATGAAGCCATAGAAAGTAAAAAAATAGATTACTCGGCATTCACTGGAGGAAGATTGCTTAGAATAATATTTTTTAGTATGCCAGAGGCAGAAGGCAAAATTCGTTCGGGCCCTTGAAGGAAGAGAGGATATGATTGCGAATAACATTCACGGAATCGGCTCGGACCGAACGTAACTCCCCTCAAAATATTTCGCCCGTACTTCTCCCGTCTGAATGGGATTTTGATCGGCGTAGCATTTTCACCAGCAAACCTTCGCGAGCTTTGAACCCCACAATAATTTCCTTCGAACGCATTTGAAGTGTCATAAATATGCATGAAAGACTTTAAAAGCGGAACCAATGTTGAACTTCAACGTTACAGTAATTTCAAACATGGCCTCGACGTTCAAATGTTGCGCTATTCCAGCGTTAGGAATGTTTCAAATTAATTGATAACAATAACAATTCGTGTTCGATGTGCATATTCCTGAAACTATTAAATGTCTACGTTTTCTAAGGTCTTCAGAAACTCCCGATGAACCTGTCCTTGCATTAGACACGGTGAGGTCATCGTGTCCTCGTTTTCTACTTTTGCCTATACCTCATTGGAGCAATTGTTTTCACCTAAGATTGGACGTCTTTGCATTACGCAGAGGCAGTTTTTGTCGTCCCCCCCCCCTCCCCTCCCCTTATAATATGGCTCAGCCATATTTCGATACATGTTATAAACTTTAATGTTTCCTAACACCCCACGGTATGAAGATTCACTTTCCTGTTTGGTCACTCCTCAACATTTATCCTCACTGACAAAATAAATAAAATTCGGTTATTTCGGTTTGCAATTTGTTAACTTATATTTAATATTTGAAATTTTATATTACAGTCGACGCTCGAACCTCTATATAACGAATTTTCCTGATAACGAATTTTCTAGCCCGTCCCTTCGAGTTCGTTATATCGAGCTTCGACTGTACCTGACTTCCCTCTCAATGAGCGTTTTTTTTTTTATCTGACAACGAAATTAATATATTGATGCTGGAGAGACTCAGTACTTTATCCTGAACATCTGCTGAGGATTTCATCAGAATTGCCTGTTTTTAGCAAGGCGAAAATTCGTGTACGAATTGGAATGGCCTGGAAAAAGCGGTATTCTACTTTCTGCGATCACTCTCATCAGACTAAAATGGGACAAGTTTGACAGTCAACAACAAGAAGTTTAAACATTTGGCGAGAAAGTTTACACAAAAGTCTGCCATGTGCATGGCACGCATGCGATATTAATTGCAGGCCGTAATTGCAGTCGTCGTCCCGGCGTCACCTGTAGGGCTGGGACAGATTATAATCATTATATGAGAAGATTTGTTCGAGCCACGTGATGGATTTTTGTGTTTAGAGACGTTTAGGTGGAAATGAGAAGCCAATGGGGGCTGATCGGCGGGGGTTGGGTGGCTTTCCTGTGTTTCGGCTTGGCTCTCGCTCATCCCTTTTCCCCCAAAGCCCATCAGAAGAAGGAAATGGGGGAAAATTCGGAGCCTAAACGAAACCGGGAGACGTCACAAGAGATAATAGAAAGAATCCTGGCTGAAGTCCCTCTCATCGACGGGTGAGTGAGATCCTGAAATGAGCGTTGAAAAACGAATTGTAACCGTACTCAAATCGGTACTACTAAGTACGAGCCTCTTGGTTTCAGTCACAACGATCTTCCGTCGTACATCGGGTGGATGACCAACAACACCCTCGAAGGATGGGATTTCCACGACAATCAGCTCACGAGTCCCGACTACGAAGATTGGAACACGGAACTCAGTAATACGGATATCCCGCGCCTGCGAGAGGGCTTGGTGGGCGGACAGGTCAGAGCTGGTATCAGCACAATTTTGCTTCAGATCCTCTCGATGACGCCAAGAGTTTGCTTTCTTACAAAATCTAGTTTTGGTCGATATTTGTGGGCTGTTCCGCCAGCTACAAAGACGCCCTTCATCTAGCCTTGGAGAGCATCGATCTTCTCAAACGTCTCGTGGTCAAGTACGCAGACACCTTCGAGTTTTCGAGGACGGCAGACGGTACAGGAATTTTTTTTTCACCACTCTGAACCTCATTCGTGTCTTATCCTCATCTCTCAACCTTATCTCGAAAATGGTTTAAATCGATACATCGTCGTTTCCACGAACGCAGAGGTCCGTGCAGCGCATGCGAACGGGAAGATAGCGAGCATGATCGGGCTGGAGGGCGGACACATGGCGGAAAGCAGCCTCGCGATCCTCCGGATCTTGTACGAGTTGGGAGTTCGGTACATGACCCTCACCCACAACTGCGACACTCCTTGGTATGCACGCGCGGCTACACGGCGCTCCAACGAACGATGGGGAATGGAAATTCGGGAATTGACAGATCTCCCATCGTTGCAGGGGGGAATACCACACGGACGGGTTTGATCACGACGGCATCAGCGGACTCACTCAATTCGGGAAGGTGAGACGATTCCACGGCAAAACGACGAAACTCGGATCGTCGGGAAGGTAAAAAGCACGACTTTGCAGAAAATGGTCTTGGAGATGAACCGGCTGGGGATGCTGGTCGACCTGAGCCACGTGTCGGACCAGACGATGTCGGACGCCCTCGACACGAGTCGGGCTCCGGTGATTTTCTCCCACTCTGGCGCCCGGGCGATGTGCGACTCGTCTCGAAACGTCCCGGATTCCATCCTCACCAGAGTGGTACAATAATTATCTCGATTCTTTTGAGATATATTTCGACTTCGACGTGTCTTGGCAACGCTCCAAACCGCTGCTGGAGGATCTAATATTTGAGGAATTGGGAAAATGACTGATTCCAATTTCTTACGGGCGTGGCTAAGAATCGCCGAAACATTGCTCTTTGATATGAAGGGGATTCGACAATAAAGGCCACAAATCCTAGAATTTACGTAGAACGTACACGTGAACGGCGACGCACAATTTGTGTTAAATACAGTAACTCAATGTTACATTTCGGTGGATGCCTCAGAGCTTCCCGACTCGGAGCATCAAGATCATACTCGTTAGCATCTGTCCTTCGGGCAGATGCCACGAGTATGACCAGTGGGGTCTGGCACTGTCGTGGAGCAAGGTGGCTCCATCTCGCAGAGGACCTGGGCGTTGGGGGCAAATGGCTGGCTCCAGTTCGGAATACATTGACAGTTTGTTCCTCTGCATCTGAAGTCCACCAGAAAAAAAAACAAACATATTTATGACTCCAAAAGACTTTGGCCCCGACTTTTCAAGCTGAAGGCTGGATCTTTCATTTATTTTGGGGCGTTGACGAAGTGTTTCTATTGCTTGCTCCTGCCTTTAATTTCGGGCTCATGATTACATAATTCCACGTTTCATCTGATATCATAATTAGGGTGAGAAAATCAACATAGGTGAGAAAATCAACATCAAAATCTCATAGGTGGTAAGATGTTCCAAATAGATTGCCGCCCCCGAAGCCTTCTGTTCGCCAGTCAAACATCTTGGTGCCCACCCAGCTCGCAGACTTTTCGGCATCCCAGTTTTTACACGTGCTAACGAAATGATTAATGTTCGGCAGTTTTATTTAGCAAGGTCGTCAACGTATTCGATACAGGTTGCAGTCGCAGCAAAATGTTATGTTCCTGAAAGGGGATCATTTTCCACGCTTGTATGCCCCATTAGAAATGAATTACATCATTTGTGTGAACCTTCTGGAGACAAAGACTTAGTGTATTGTTCCCATTCGGCGGCAATCTACAAATTTTGTGCATTTGGAAACCAAAAATCGAATGGCCACTCTCTGCGCCTGTTTCGCACTTTTTGTTGAAGGAAATATTGCAAGCACTCCAAGGCAATTATAACAGTGAAAATTGCCTATACTGTGTCTACATATTACACATCTTGTTTCTAAGCCTGTTTTCCCCATTTGTAGCTTTTATTGTTGAATCCTTATCTTACATCTTCAAGTACTCTAGCCTACCGTTTGGATAAGTTTCCTGTTTCAAACAGTCAGTGGAAGGTGGGGGGGAGGGGGGGAGGGGGGGAGCAATCGTTTCGTGACACCCCCTAAATTTGTCGTTCTCCTTTCTTTGCACTGATCACATATCACCCAAGCCCTCCCTTAAGCTCGGCTTAGCAGAAGAAAAGAGGATATAAGAGGATATTGTACATCTTTCACCAGATTGCTGGAAGCAAAGTGGAAAAAAAAGTGGGGCAAAGTGGAATGCCGATCCCCTTTGCCCCACAACAAACTTACGTAAAAAAGTTGAACTGTTCGAAACACTTGAATTCCAAAGATCTATGTTTGATTGAATATATTCAAAGCATCGCAGTCGTTTTACAGTCAATAAATTGACCGCATTTTTCAAGTTTCAAGATGGAGTGATAATGAAGTAAAGCCAAAAGTGACATCAGAACGACCGAAAAAACGTGACCACATCTAAAAAAAAAAGAAGCGACTGAAGCGTGCGCAGCCATGTTGCCTCTTCTTCGAGCAGTAAACTTTAGCTTACCAAAAGTGGTAAATTTTTTCTATGGACAGCAGGCTCTGTTATGTCGAAAAAGGCCGACATCGTCCCATCGTTCCCCTTCGCCCCGGTCCGATTCCGAGTCCGATCTCGATTCGAAGTGTGCCGATGTGCTGATGCGGCTTCTGCTTCTTATCTTTCTGGCGTAGAAAGAGAACAACGGGATCGTGATGGTGAATTTTTATACAGGATTTGTCACGTGCAGCGAATCCGCCACCATCGACGACGTCATCGGTGAGTCACGCAAGAAGCATCCCGATCGAATTCCATGCATAATTCAGCGCCCGTTTATCTCAAGCGTCCTCTCTGCCCGCAGCTCATTTGAATCACATCAGGAATGTGATCGGCGTGGATCACGTGGGCCTTGGCAGTGATTTCAACGGTGCATACCCGTGAGTTCAATTCTATTAATTATTTATTTATTTATTTAACAGGCTTTAATCCCGATTGCTTGGAATTTGAGATTCCCGACGGACCTCACGGATGTGTCCATGTTCCCAAACCTTTTGGTGAGGCTTCTCGAGAGCGAGGACCCCGCGTGGAGCGAAGACGACATCAAGAAGCTCGTCGGACTCAACATCCTCAGAGTCATGGAAGAGGCCGAGAGGGTAAGGCTCATTTTCGCATACCTCATCGTTATATAGCTTCGGTGCCATTCGATTATCATCGCTCAGGTGGCCCAAGAGATGCAGAACGAGATAGACGAGTCCCTGCTGCCCGACGGGGACTGGCCAGAGGGCTACAGGGACTGCATGCAGAAGTTCAACCCGACGACGTTCCAGGAAGGCGCGAAGAAAACGCCCAAGGGCTCGGTTTTTTCCCAGGGAACCTGTGATTGAATGCATGCTGTCACTTTTTCCTGTGAAGATGGGTGAAAATGAAAGGATGAAATAACTGCATCGTGTTGGGTCTCGATCCTCTGGACGTCGTATGAACGATCCCAGATTATCGCCGCGAGCGGGAACGTTTTACTATGGGCTCAAATGGCCCCAAAGATTACAGGAAACGATCTAATAATGATAGGAATCGGCTTCAAGTGGGGTGACAAAATTGAGCGAAGAGCGTATCACGGAATCTAAGAGGGTCTGAGAAAGGCCAGGGCTGGGGCTGATGCGATCTCGCTTCTTTTTTTTTTTCTCCCTGAGTCCGTCTGATGTCACGTGCAATTGCGACAGTTTCATAACTATGAAGTCAGAAGGAATTGGGTAATACTCCAAAAAAAGAAAAGTCTGATCGCAGGAAGGTCCTATTAACTTTATCGGATATGGGCAACTGGGGGAGAAGACGATATGAGCCTCATCCGAGAGATATTACAGGACCTTGGAAATGACGCAAGGATCCTCTAAGAGAAAAAATTCCATAAAAAGAGATTCATCCCTCGGAGTTCCTGTTGGAAAGGAAGGAAACCGGGGAAATCCTGATTTGCTTTATCCTTTTTTTTCTCTCCGATGAACAAGACCGGATTTTGAAGCAAGTCCCCAAACCTGTTCAGTTTTTGATTGGGAAGGAGTGATGCAACAGGATAGAATTGTCCCATCCCAGCCCATTAGAAAGAAATCTTCATTTCTCAGAAGGCGACGGAAATGGTGGGTGCACACTTGTGACTGTCGGAGGTGCGACGACCGCATCGCGTCAATATGCGACTCATCTCAGTGAGTTTTTCCCCCCCCCCAACCCCCCCCCCCCCCCAACTTCGACCCCAATAAGTCGAGTTAGCGCCAGGCTGACGTCACCGAAGGGATTCGACGAAAGTGCGACTCCGTCCGGAAGTGCGAAGGGCCGAGAGCGAGACTCGGCGAAGGCGTGATGAATCACCTCCGGTGGTCGGTGTTAGCACAGAAAGTGGAGACAGGCGTGTGACAGGAACAACGTGAAAGCCACTTTTCTCGCATTTTTCTCGCATCTTTCGTCCCCGTGCCGATCCCCCTTCCTTCGAGCGCAAATAATACGTTGAGGCCTCGAAAGAGCACGTTTTCCGGTGGATCCACGATATGCAAAAGCGATATCGCGTTGCGCGCTTGGGAAGCTTCGTCTCGGAGTGGAGGGAAACGAAGGGTTTGCGTTCATTATCTCTAATTTTGTCGGGAATTGACGGAAGAAGTGGACATGTACTGATGCAATCAGCTATAGCTTTTCTCTCTCTCTCTCAGGTTTATTATATCTAATAAAATTGAGCGTTTCATAATGACTCCAAGTGAAAGTCTTGTCTCCATCTGCACGACTCCTAACTCATCCGGAAGGGGGGGGGGGGAAATATCGACGAAATTCCAGCAGTTGCTTCCCTCAATTGAAACTCATCCATTAATACGACGCTACTTTTACGACGCTGTTGAGAATAATGCAGGAAGAGGCGAGATTAAAATTACGTGCCTGCCTTTATAGAGCCCTTCCTCTATCATGCGAGACGACTTCGCATCTGCCCGCAGGAAATCCGAGGTTATATGTCCGCTATTCCAGCTCCTCCTGTTAATGTGGGTGAGATCGCCTCTGGGGCTTGCTTACGATCAAAGCGAGGAAGCTTCCGACGAACTCAGCCTGGAACGCCCTCGCGCGGCCCCAGAACCTAGTTACAACAGACACGAGTCGGTGCCGTTCGAAGCGCAGGGCCGAGAGCAGGTCTCTCCCCTGGGGGCGATCACTGAGCACCGAGGGGATGTCAAACAGACGGGGACTTTCGGAGGACAAAACTTCAATATCTTCCAATTCGAGGGGGCTCAGGTGAGGACGATCGACTCATCCGTTGTCTCGTATTCCCTTCCAGTGGGTCGTTGTTATGTATCTACCGATGATGGGAGCCCGGGCCGCCCCTACTGCTGCCGCTGGCAAGGAAGTCCAGTTGTCTGACGTCCGGAGAGGGGATGTCAAACAGAGTGGGGCCTTTGGCGGACAAAATTTCAGTATTTTCACCTTCAAGGGGGCTCAGGTAAGCCGATCGTTGGGTGAACCCTTGCGAGTGCACCACGCGACGCTTTGCTCTGTCGGTAACAGCAGGGTCGGTCCGAACGAAATTGATCATTTCCGCAAGCGGGCGGGGGGAAGCGGATGAAGGGTGAAAAGCATAAGTGATTGCTCGGAGGCTACCATGCAATTAGGTCCTTGAAAAATGATGCCGATTATGAATTCTTCCTTCAATTAGCGGTCCGATGAGGACTCTTTTACTTCGCATTTATTCCGTGCCCCATACCGCAACAAGCATGCCAGGCTCATTTTACCGATAAAGAATCTGGTTTTTTTTTTCCGGACTTCCTTCCCTCTCCCTCAAGCAGTGAAAGTGATGACATTCTTTCAAGAGACTCTGCGTGTTATTCAGCCACGAGCGATCGCGTCACACGAGATAAAAGATGATGGCATTTCGGCTTGCGAGCCGGTACTCCATCCCCGTCATTCAAACGCGACTCGAATCGTAACAGTGCAATATGAGCCGCGAGAGAAACGAAAACGGGACTGAAGGGAAACCGGTGGCTTCCTGCTTGCAGTTCCCGGCCAATTCACGGCGGCGAGGGCCAACAAAAGGAGCCAGGCGTTCACCACCCGGGCCAGGCGATCAACGTTTTCTGTCAGACTGCCCCATCTGTCAAAGCAAAAGGAAGACATCGTCCGAGGAACATCTAGGGAGATTGTTCACGGCGGACGTGGACGAAGCGGAAGATTACGAATACGAGTCTCGAGAGGAGAAGCTCGACCCGGGTCTCCTTCTCCGTCTCTATAAATTCTTGAGGGCTTCTTAGCTCCTGGAACCAATAAATCCCGTTGCTGAAGATCCCGGTGTTCGCTGATTGCAAGAGATCTCATGCAGACCCGATGAGGGTGGCCTTATGTAATGCTTTCATTCATGTTTGCATGAAAAAGACTCGGAATGGACGGACACAAAAGGAGCAGCTCTCTTCTTCGCTGCACGCTCTAATAGGGTGGGTGGGAGAAGAAAGTTCCACGGCATTGCATCATCATCTTCGGACTAGACCCTTTGTAAGTGAGAAGCGCTAAAAACCGGTCAGAACTAGGAAGAAGCGGCTCGTTTTTTTCCTCATTAGCAGGCTCCACCGAGATGTAACCCTCCCGTATTCCCACAGCTTTACATCTTGAACTAATGGCAATTAACCGGTCTTCATTCGATACCCGAAACACGTCCATGTTATTGGACCCGATCCTCTTGGTGCAACCTTGCGACCAGAAGGATAATTTCCAAGAATCCCTAAGGAGCTTCTCAGTGTCTAAGAAAACCGCGAGCCCCGAAATGCTTCTCAGACTCTCCTCGAAATCGGGGAGAGCCACCTCCCTCGTCCGAGTCCCGAGCATAAGAAACGTGATGAGCCGCTAAACTTTCACGGAACTTTCATAGACCCTCCGGAAGGCAAGATACATCGATCACGAAAAGCCCAATGCCAGACCCTGGACTGCAGGCAAAAAGAGAGAAGGGAAAGAAGCGCAGGTGGACCCGATCGGAAGCCAGCAGGACAGAAAGATGAGTGGATGAATTAAAGGCTTCACCCTCTCATCAGCTGGGATCGAAGTCACCGGCCCGTGCCCAAAGATCCCATCGGCCATCGAGAGGGAAGGAAAGTACAAGACGTAGAGGCTTAACGTGCATGCATTGGGTCAGAAACGGGTTCCTTCCTGGTCTCGTTTCTCAGTATTCTATTACTGTCATTACGCACGTTTCGTTCCTCCAGCCCAGGGATGAAGAAATCAGCGGAAATTTCGATTGTATTGGCTCGAGGCATGAGTAGTCAATCGTTTAAGAATGACTTGTTATTTTTTTTGCGTCTTGGATCACCGTCATCATCATTGGTTTGTCTGTTTTTTTTTTTTTTGCACAACTTCCGTGT